CACATTCAAATGGGAGAAAGACACTACTTACTGCTGTCATTCCTGAAAAGCATCCCTACTGATAGTGTAGACAAAAACAAAGAAAACTTCTTCAGAGAGGGTATTTTATTTTCTATCAGATAAGAGAGTCCTTTAGAGGTTTGCCTTAGTATCTTTTGGATAAACAGCCAGTCTGATTAAAAGCTCATGTCAGTATCACTCAGGGGAACATACCAATAGAATGAACACATATAAAGAGAGATTGTATTCAATTGGCCTATATGATATAATCTGGGTAGTCCAACAGTGTATGTCTTCAATCTAGAGAATTCAGTAGCTGCTCAATCTATGTCTCAACAGTCCCAGTTGGGCACCAAAGGCCTCGAGGATTCTAGGAGAGCCCTAGGTCTTCAGTCTTGAAATGCCATAGAAGCTGGGTTCTGAAATCTGGGGAAGGTGGTGACAGTAGCAGTGACAGTTGACAGAGGCAATAGCAGGGTAGATGAACCCTTGAACAAGCCACAAAGGTAAATATGCAAAAAGCAAAAAACTTTACCTCAGACCATCTTATATCTTAGACATCAAAAGAAGATGCCACTCACATTCCAGTAAATCTTCACAGTTGAGTTAACATAGTTGAGAAAATCTTTCATAGACATGCCCCAAGGTTAGTACAAACTGTCTAACCCCTAACAGGTGCACTCAGTGACCCTAGATCTTGTCAAGTTCATGATATTAACCATCACAATACTTTCTTGGTCCTGCTTCTCATCTTAGGTATCTATGGCTCTGTGGAGTCCTTATATAGGAAGTCTTTATGCAACAGTTCCCAGGTGAACCTGAAAGCTTGCCTTCCTTGCACAGTAGGAAAAGGGCTGAGGTTTACCTGCTGATCGTGCTACTATGCTTTCAGAAGACACCCCATCTGTTCGTTAAACATTCTTTACGTAATCACTGGCTGTTGATGCCCACAACCAGCGTAGCTCTGGGCTAATGTCCTGGACTTCTAGTCTGTCCTCCTTTGCTTCCTAATCTTTGTCCTCACTAGAACTGCATATTTTCTCAGTTTCTGTTGCCCTTTCCTCTTGACCCTGGGCCTATGTCATTCCATGGTTTCCTTCCCACAATGACCCATGGTGGCCCATTTGCCCTCATTTCTCTCCCTTGTCCATCAGTCTCCGGTAGTAGCTAAGGGTGTTCAGATTCCTACCCTGACATACAGAAGCAGGCCTGTTCCTAGTTACCTTCTTGGAAGTATGCAACTGATGTTTTGATTTTACAGAGGCTCATGTTACAAGGTTGCTATTTTGGACTTTGGCCTTTTGAGTGGTGGTATGACTATTAAAAGTCTATGGTGACTTTTAAAGATGGATGAATGCAGTTTACGTTATGGTACAGCCATGACCCTATAGGGGGCAGGAACCAAATGGATTCTGAATATGAAATATCCCTCAAAGGCTTATGCATGTGAACACTTGACCCTCAGCCCGTGACACTGTTTCTGAGTATCATAGAATCATTAGAAGGTTGTAGAATCATTAGCCTTACTGGAAGAAGTGATTCACCAAGGGCAGGTCAACATCTGGTCCTTTCTCTGCTACCTGATTACAACATAATGTGATCAGGTGCTTTATACCTCTGCCATCACACCTTCTTGCCATGATAGACTATATCCTCTCAAAACCTAAGCCAGAATAAACCCTGTTCCATTTAAGGCCTTACTTAATAGGTATTTGCTCACAGCAGTGAGAAAAGTAACTAATAAAAGGACTGTTGTACCAGCTGACCAAATATGTACTCATTCTGCATTGTAGATCATAGGTGGACAGGATTGAGGAAAAGCTATGTTCCAGGCAGGGCACCTCAAGGCAAATTTTCTTCATCTGGGAAATGATGATCTTGCTATGACTCACTTGTGTACACTCTCTCTCTCTCTCTCTCTCTCTCTCTCTCTCTCTCTCTCTCTCTCTCTCTGTCTGTCTCTCTGTCTGTCTGTCTCTCTCACACACACACAGTGCCTTTGTTCCATATTATTAGTCAATTCTAATTTACTAATATGCTTAGAAGTTGACTGCCAAAAATAATTTAACCTGTAAATTAGAGCTATCTAGAGAGATAACATTTTCTGCATGAGCTGTCTTTTCAGCTCAACTCAGCTACTTTATGGTAGATGATAAATGTGCAAACCTGCGATGTGTTTTAACAGGCTCTCAGACCTTAGTAGGCCTCCAGACCTTAGCACAACTAATGCCATGTTGAAATGCTGTACAGGCCTAGAAGTTTCTACCACTTTCCAGCTATGAGGTTCAATACGAAACTTGGCCCTTATTTTAACTCATCCTTGTCTCTTCCCTATCTAAAGTCCACCGGATCATGGTAGCTGCAATATCGCTGCATACTAGGTTTGATTATATCATGCATTAGTTACTTTCCTCGTTGCTGCAACAACAGCCTAAGGATAACAAGGGTTTATTTTGGCTCACAGTTTGAGGATACAGTCTATCCAGCAGGGAGTTGTGGTGGCATGGCTTGGTGCAGCTGGTCACGTTACATATGAAGTGCAGAAACATAGAGATGAATCCTGATTCTCTGATCACTTTTTCCTTTTCAGAAGTCTGGGACCTCAGTTCTTAGGATGATGCTGTCCAAAGTTAGAGCGAGTCTTCCCATCTCAACTCAGTCTAGAAACGTCCCCACAGGCATGCCCAGAGATTTGTAGCTAGGTGGTTCTTTAGATCATGTTGACCTTTAGATCATGTATTAACCTTACACATTGAAGTTGTTCTTCATTTCGCACAGTGTACAGAAAACTCCAAGTCAAAACCAACCAGACCTACTTTTTAATATGGCAAATGTTAACAATTCTTTTCACTCTCCATAATCTCTGGGTTTTGAGACTATATTCATTATTAACTCATAATTTTGAGTTCTGCTTTCTAGCTAAAACTTGTTTTTTCCCCAAGACACAAAATCACACTTCTTCAGTGGAGAGGTCCCTTGGGCAAGAACATTTTCAGAGTTTGAAAATTATTTCATTTTAAGGCTTTTATGTGCCTTATTGAAGGCAATAAGAAGAAAACAAAAGAGCACATATTGGTTTTTTTTTAAAACCTAACAATTCCACAACAGAGGTCTTGGAAGACATGGTCTTATGCTTAATGTAGTTTCTTTTCCCATTGCTTTGATAAAATGCCTAATGTAAGTGATGAGGGAGGGGAAGTGGCTTATTTTTGTCTTACCTTATCAGAGAAATCTGTCTATAATGATGGATAGGGCATGGAAGATTTCATGGTAGTGGTGGGGGTGTGATTGGTCAGAGAGAGAGAGAGAGAGAGAGAGAGAGAGAGAGAGAGAGAGAGAGAGAGAGAGAGCATAGGCCAGATATAACCTTCCAGGATTTATCCAAGTGATGTACTTCAACAGACAGTACCTATATGTTTCAAAGATACCACAAACTACCAAAAGAGCCCCCCCTACAAACTGGGAACTTTATATCTAAATAGTTTCACAAACTACCAAAGTAACACCACCACTGTGCTCAAACATGAGCACCTGGGAGAAATTTCATATTCAGACCATAATACCTAGGATATCAAAGGCAGAGGTTTACAATCGCTCTTGCTATGGCTTAATCAGGACTGCTAACTTTATGGGCCAGAGATGTCCTTGTTTCATTTGGACCTTTTCTTCCCTGCTTATTCAACAATAAGAGCTGTATCACCCTCATTTCTTTGCTGCAAATTCCACTAGAGAATTTTTGGATACAAGTTAAAAAGAAATTCTGACTCAGATTGGATTAAATGATGAGGTCTATTTGGCTCATATGACTGTCGTACGTAGAGACTCACCACATCATTAGGATTAGGCTTCAGCTTTGAGCTTTCTTTTCTTCCACACATTGCTATTTCGTGACAACAAAAGGACCCAAAATATTGCAAGCATCTCAATGGCATATTACATCATTGGGAGCTAAAGTGAGAGACTTTCGAGTTTGTGTACAACCCAAGTCACATACCTACCACTGAATCACTCATTGTGGTCAAGAGACTAAGCTGACTAATTTAGCTACTATCTACATGTTCCATCTGTCAAGCTGAAAACCTCATGCCTGTGGCAGTTGGTCATCCCCCAAAGAGACATATCTTGAGGACATCGTATTTGAAAAGCATACCTACATGATTCACAGGAAAATGGCTGCACCCTGACTCCCTCCCAGTTTTGCCAATGAGCGCCGTGCTGAGATATTCAGGGAGGTGGGAAGTAACCAGTGGTCTTCATAGGATCACTGAAAACTAAAACTCACTGTCATGATGATAGTACTGGAGGATACAAATCAAAGGCTGCTTCTTCATTTCTTGGCATCTTGCAAATCTCTCTTACTCTGGTGTAAACCTCAAAGAGGAAGGACAGTTCAGCAATGACTGAGGTGGAATTTCCCATAGCTCAGCATGTGGTCTGGATGCCGTTAACGGAAAATGCAATAGAACTTTTCGTGATGCTGTCAACAGAGATTGCTGCCACTGTGTAGATTACAATAACGTGGGTGGATCTGTGAATTATTAAACATTGGGAGGGGTGCCAGAGAAATGGCTGAGAGGTTAAGAGCACTGACTGCTCTTCCAGAGGACCTGGGTTCAATTCCCAGCACCAACATGATGGCTCACCATTATCTGTAATTCTAATTCTGGGGATTCTCACTTTACTCAGGCACCAAGCCCATTTGCAGTGCACAGACACAGATGCATGCAAAACACCCCCACACATAAGAAAAAATAACTTCAAAATTTTGGCTTGATGAGGGAACCACACTGAAAATAATTTTCATGAATAAGCATTAGCTGTGGCTGGAAATCCACATGAGTACACCACTACTACCAATGTAAGATGAGTGAGTGAATCATCATTGACATTGTGTTCCTACTGTTTTACTTCAACAGATAGCAAGTCTTCTAAGAGACATTCTCATTTACAGGAAAAATCATTTAAAACTTGTTTTCCTTGTGATCTTTAAATTTTTTCAGCTCGAGTACCAATATCTGCAGCTGTTTCCGGAATCAACCCCCACAGCTGTTGCATTGGACCATCTTACTCTGTTTCATCAATTAACATACTCAAAAATGATAATAACTCATGACAGTATGCTTAAGAACATTCCTTTCCAGTGTGAAAGAGAAGAGCTATTACTAAATTTCCAACCATGACTTCCAGTTGCATTATCTTAGTGTCAACAAGTCTTGGGACAGGACCAGAAATTTTAGGATAATTCTGAAATGAATTCTCTTAGAAGGATATTTACACATTCAGTCAAATATCCAAGAACTTTAAAATAGTGATTGTGAAAATATTTTCATGACACAATAAAGTCATAAAATTTTATTGATCATGTTGAGTTTAAAATAGCGCCCATTTCCTCATTAATAAAGTGTCTATTTTTGTTTGAAAGCTAGAACTAAATATGGAGGCTCTACTTTATTCATCTATTTGTAGTGTACATATGTTTTGCTTGTGTATATGTGTGTGTGTGTGTGTGTGTGTGTGTGTGTGTAAGTATGTGTGTCTGAGCATGTGTGCATAAAAACCAGAAGACATTTGGGGGGATTGTCTTCTATTGCTTTCTGCTTTATTCCTTTAAGCCACGTCTTCCTGAATCTGGAGCTTGTGTGTTTTAGCTAGACTGGCCCTCAGCATGCTCCAATGGTCCTCTTGTCTCCACACTCCCTGCAACACTGGGGGTTTCAGGCACAGGTGAAACCACATCTAGCTTGTTGCATGGGTGCTGGGGTCAGGCTTGTCTGTGAGTGATAAGAGAACAGTGGCCTGCAAAATTCTGTAGAACACAATTGACCCCTAGTGGTCACAAACTGGACTACCCCCACTCAATAACAAATGTACTAAGAATCAAGACTTTTCAGAGAAGAAAAATCTTAACTGCCATATCATTTATACCTCACCCAATATCTGACCTGCTTTTGTGATTTCTAGATATTTCTTTTTATTTTATTTATTTTTCAGTTTAAATTTAGATAAGAAACAAGGTTGCTTCACAGGTCAGTTCCAGATCCCTCTCCCTTTCCCTCCCCACCTCTCGTGCCCTCCCCCCACCCCCCCCATTATCCCCTCATTTCCCCAGGGAGGGTGAGGCCCTCCGTGGGGGTGTCCATAGTCTGTCATTTCATATAGGGCAGGGCTTATCTAGATATTTCTTAATATCAGGTGAACTTAGATAATATGTTTAATACTACACAGCTTATCTCCATGTGCTCGAACTTCAATTTTAAGGAATATATATTTTAAAAAATGAATGAGATTACAGTGCTTAAATGTCTCTTTTTTAAAAGCTTGAATTGGATTTTATTCTAGGAAGAAAGAATACTTTGAAAATACAGCTGGTTTTCCTATTCGGGAAACATGATTGCCTCCTTCTAGAGGTGTCTATCTAGGTGGTGTAAATAAACAACTTACTCAGGACTATATTTTCTAGAATATTATAAGGGAAAAGGCGGACAGACATTTTCTTAAGACAACCCCCTCATCTGGGGGGGAGAGGGGAAGTGGGGAGAGCTGGGAGGAGTGGAGGGAGGGGAGGCTGTGGTCAGGGTGTGTTGTATGAGAGACGAATGTATAAAAAGAAACAAAGAATGTGGTAAATGGACATGTTACAAAATAAACCTATGTCTTGGGGAAAAACAAAACCCCTGTGGTGAAAACACCCTAAGGTACATGTTGTATATTTTAATTTTGTTCAATGTGTAGAATAGAAAATAAAGTATGGTGAGAAAGAAACAAACAAAAACTCCTGACAGTCACTGTCAGTGAGAAAAAGAAAGAAGGTATAGAGAAGGATAATATTTAAAATGCTTCCCTCAGCTACTGATTGATAAACAAGAAGATCCAATGAACCTGAATGACATATTACTTTAGCTGCTAGGCACAAACTCATGCTAAAAGGGTTACAAGGACTTTTTTCTGTCTGTTTTCATGAGATGGAACAAGTTTGTTGGTTGTGTCTATGCATTTGTATTCCTGTCTCTGTTTCAGGATTTCTTGATGGGCTCCCACATAGACACAAGTCTATGATCACTTATCACAATGCCTTCTTGGGTCAGCAGTGCTACATTAGCAACTGTTACCATAGCAACTGGGATGGGATTAGCTAGGAGAGAACAGGGTCTTGAGCATGGATAAGAGAATGATGAGTGTGGGATTGGTCAAAAAGAAGCTCCCAGAATGAGAGAGATGATGGAGAAAGACAAAGAGATATCCATGTGCTCTGTTATCACTGGTTCTATTTTGAAATCAAACTCATCTAACTAAAAAATAAAGAAGCTTAACAAAGTCAACAGAGGCAACTGGTGAGTAGTGACTTATTCAATCATTACAGGATAGACAACCCAATGTCCTTGGAAGACTTCTGTTAGCTTAGCCAGAGAGAAAAGGAATACAAATACATCACTTTGCACAAAAAGATTTGCTACAGATGTTCTCAGGGAGATAATGTTGAAAGTTGTACAAAACAAGGAGCGAATTTCTAGGTCTTTTACCTTTTATAATTCCTTTCTTCCATAAAGATTTCCCAAATAAGGTAGTGAAAGTGGTAGTCAGAAAACAAACCACCAACAATAAAATCCCAAACAGAACAAAGAAACCCCACCCGAAGGCAGTCTCTTCTCTGGCTTTCCAAAAATGTACGTTTTGTTTAAAAAGTATCAATTTGAATAAGAAAACAAAACAAAAAGTCACATATGCAAATAAATTAAAATGCATATCTACCTGTTGATGCCCTCAGTGTGTCTCCTAGGGGTGGGGAATGCCCAGGAACTGGCGCTATTGAAAATTTTCCACAGAACAAGAGAACACAAAGGACCTTGAATTGCCTTAATGCCAGTGTTTGATCATCTGGAGGGTATTACAACCGTGTCCTGAGTCGGCTCTAATTGGTCCTCATTGCTATAATCTATTCATTGCGTCCTATGAAGGCACCTCTGTTTCTTAGGTCATTATCCACAGTCCTGACGAGCATAAGTGTTATTACTAACAGCAGTGCTCATTGTCCTTTTGTCTACCTGGTGAAAGCAGGTGCTGTCATGGAACACAGACATACCTGCTGCCAACACACACACACACACACACACACACACACACACACACACACACAAATAAAAGAAGTCTTAAGAAAGGAGCTACCACTGTTCCTGTAAGCTTTGGGGGAAATCATTACAAAATTTCCAACAACTGGTCAGTGAAAGAACTGCCAAGCAGTTCAAATGATTTTAGCTATTCTTCATTTCAGTACTCTAGTCTTTAAGCATGTATGTGTCTTGGAGTGCAGGCAGAATTATTAACTCTATGATAGCATTTCGAGCAGAAAATGAATGAATAGTGCCTGGATAAATGGCACCAAGGCAAGGCAGCTTTCCATGGTGTGCACATGTCATCATGAAAGACCAATGGAAAACTACTACCACTTATGCACACATCCTACACCAAGCATATCAGTCCCTGTGATTATCAAGCTTTTGTTTCACGATGTATAGCTCCAATGTGGTATCAGGACACTTGCTAGCTGATCATTTCTTCATAAGGAGAAAGAATATATAGGAAAGAGAAGGAGTAAAGGGGAAAGTAGGGTAGAAAAAACCTTCAAAATTCTTTTGTTAAAAGACATGACTACCGAGTACCAACCTAAAACTATGAAGTGAAAATTCCACGATGAAGATTTGAAAGAATATATCAATATTCTTTACATATTCTAAGTCTAAAAGGAAACCTATGGGTGTAAGATTGCCTACAAATATCTGTTTGTCTGGATGGAAACTTATATGAGCTCCAACTACCATGCATGCAGCTATAAATTCAGAGAAATCAAGATCAAAAATCAAAGTCCATTTTTCTTTTACTTTATATGGCTCAGCGACTAGCTTCCCAATTGATGTGAACTTCATGAAGGTTCATGAGACCATTTCTTTACAACCCCAGAATATGGGGTGACCTCAATATTGTTAGTGAATGCATTAGTGATAGTATTTACATAGTTAGAGACAGGCTTATAGAGATGAGAGAACTGGTGGCTGACAGCCTGAAAATCCAAAGATAGAACAACAACAACAACAACAAAACAATACCCATCATACAAAATGGCTACTGATTTAAAGACTAACACTCCTACATGCTTCTTAGGGTTATAGTGTACAGACAAGAGAATCTCTACCAAGGATGACCCAAGTCATTAGAAAATAACACATTTTTACACCTTATTTAATAAAAGTCAATGTGGGAGTTGTACAATGTACCTTTAGAATATTTCCACTGGGGTAGAAGAAAGTATTCAAATCAGAACACTTGGTCCTCCTATGCCAGATTTCCTTTAAAAAATATAATTTTTATTATATAATACCATGCAATTTAACCCACCTCCAGCTTTTATTCTATTATCTCTAATTCTATGGTATCTTTTGTGGACACAGAAAGTATGTCCCTTTTTGGCCCTTGTGATCTATTGTGTTTCCTAGTACATAATTTTAAGATGTTCCACATATCAGCTCTCCCTGTTTCAGTCACAAAGCAGTACAGAATGGGATCGGCGACACAGTTTAGACTGGTCAGTGCCACTGTGATTCTGTACACCGTAAACGTCTGCTTTCCGGACTTGTTGCTGAAGCTCATATTGCGCTCTAAAATGCAGCGGATGAGCACCATCACATGGAAGGGGGTAAAGCACAGGACGAACGTCAACGTGATGCTAGCAAGCAACTTTATGATCCTTCTCTTTTCGCTGTTTTCCGTGGCTTGGTTGTGCTGCACAGCTTGGTACACTTTATGGTTGCAGATCATGATGGTGATCAAAGGTACTGCATAGCCCATGCTCGTCCTAAACAGGTTGAGGTTGATCTGCCAGTTCTCCAGAGGGTATTTGTCATAACACAGGGTGAAGTTAGACTTCTCCTCATCACAGTATTCAACACTTGTCTCATCTTTCCACAGAAGGATAGAGTTAAAGATGGATTCCAATATCCAGATAGACAGGCTGGTCACGAGTGCAAATCTTCTCGTTCTTAGAAAACAAAACTTCAGGGGGTAGACAACTGCTAAGTAACGGTCCAAGGCAATGCAGGTGAGGAACGCGGTGCTGCTGTAAAAGTTCATGTATGTGAAGAAAACACTCCCTTTGCATAAGGCGGGAGAGAAAGTCCAGTTGTCTTTATTCCAGGTGTAATTGATCCACAGAGGCAGAGTCAATGCATACAGCAGATCTGACAGTGACAAGCTAAAGAGGTAAATTCCTAGTTCATTTTCCTTCTTTGCTTGCAGGAAGGATACACACAAAGATCCAACATTGGCTGGGACGCTGACTATAAACACAAATATGTAGACCACTGGGAACAAATAGTGATCTAGATCATGCTGTTCTTCAACACACGTGCTGTTCATCGTCATTTTTTTAATAGTGGCAATTACATTACTTCTTAGGCTGTAAACAGGAAAAGAAGCCTTGCCTTGTTCTAAGATTTCAACATTAAATTCTTGTTTTCCTAGGATTTTTTTGATTTTCCTTGGCTTTTGAAGTTGTAGTCAGTTCATCAATGCATTTAAATAGTAGTTATAGATGAAAATTTTTAACATAGACTATCACCACCAGAAGGCAGAATCCAGGCTCCTGGGGGTGACTTAACAGCAGTGAACTGAATTTAACCATGAGAAGTCTTCGTGCTCCATATCATGGACTGTTTAGCTTTCTTGAAAGGTCACTCACACCCTCTCAATTTGTCCTTTTGAATCTTACAGGAGATTGGAGATGGGTGCAAATATGAGTGCACAGATTTTATTTTCACACATTTTGGCATCCTTTTGAAAGTGTCCTATTTCTGTAATGAAAGATGAACTAGAACAGGTTAGATACTTATAAGATATATAACCTCATTATGAAACAGCCATCTTTCATTATTTTAAATTATGGAAATAGTATTTAACTAAAACAATTAATGAACTTTAGTAAATAAAATCAAACTGAGATGTTTTGTTATTTCAAATAAGATTTACTCAAAGGATGCTAGCTTAGAAGGAATTATATTTCTCACCAGGCAATGCATAACAACCATAACCAAAGTTTGTTAAACCATTAAAGCCATTGTGGTAGCTATAAGCAGAAAAGTCAGTTATTTGGCTGTGATGAGAAATTGCTACTTTATTTTGTTGCTTTGGAGTGAACACAATTTGTAAGGTTCAGTTTAATGTGCACTATCAGTATAAGGCACTGCAAAATCACATTATTAAGAAAATATTTCCATAACATATGTTGAGGTGGAATTTAAAATATAATTCATTGAGCTTTGATACATGGTTAGACAGCCTTCCCTCCCTCTTCTGTTTGTTTTATGTTTATTATGGAATGTAGCCCACTGTGTCTCACTTATATTCCATAAATGAGGGAACAGAACCACCTCAATTCTGGGAAAACATTGGGATTATCAACTTCCATCCACAGAGCTCATTAGTTCTGAGGTTTGTGCCTTTGTAAAGTGACAGTGCCATAGAGAAGCTCTCTATTCCTTTGCTGGTGGCATCACTTGGTAGTTCGGGTGATTTATGTGATGGAACCATTATCTAAAGCATTGAAGGGATAACATTCTGACCACCAGTGCCATTCTCCCCAAGTATAGATGAGTTCCAGTCACAAAAGGATTTGCTAGCACAAGGCATGACTCTGGTACTGGAATAAACCACATCCAGGATGTGTCTCAGTCTTTAAAAAGTAAGAGTAAAACTCCAAGACCTTCTGTCTTTATCCTCCCTAGAGATATAGATAAGTCAGAAAAACCTGTTAAAGCAATAGTAAAATATTTGTGATGGAAAACAGAACAAGAGCTGAGGACAAGAAACACTGGATATGCTGGGGGCTGATGCGGGTGGAAGAGGCAACTGGAGTGGATCAAAGAAATAAGGCAAGAATTCACACCATGAAGGCATACTCCACTACCATCACACACATGGGAATCTGGGAGGCTCTGGTTTCTGGGAAAGGGCAAATCAGAAAAGACAAGAGACTGACACATTCTGAAACATTTGAAGACAACAGAGAAAAGCTGGCAAGTTCCTTTCTCTGGCCTGGTTTATGCAAAGAGCTAAAGAAAAGAACCTTATTCTGGATGTACACAGGATCCAGCATCCCCTCACTTGGAGAGGATCTGAGTCTGCATTGTTAATTTGGTTCATGTGACCTACTCAATGGCTCAAATTCTTTAGCCACTCGGGAAACAGGAGTTGAAACCTCAGTGAGACAGCACTCAATCAGACACCACTAACACACCCACTAGAATAACATGCAAGGCAAAAAATACCAAGTGCTGGTGGTGATGTAGGGTACCTGAACTCATATATACCCTAGGCTGGAAAACTTAAGTATGTAACATGATATAGCAGTGTTGTTACTAAATGAATACACACACATTTGCTTAGCAGCAGGCACTAAGATCAGAATATTTAGGGTAGCACTGTTTGTAATGTACACCAGGTAGAATGTCCAATAGCAGTAGAATAGACACCATAAGTGGTATTGGTATATCATCATCACCATCCTCATCATAAACAACAACATCTATACATCAGTGATGTTTTCATTTTGTCTTACGTGAAATAAAAGAGTTGAAGCTTAATAACCCAACGCTGATGGATAAGACCAACACAATAGAGGACATATTATCAGATAAAAGCCAGCAGAAGTTAACCTATCCTGGTAAGAGTCAGGACAGAGATTACTCTTGGCAGGATCAGGTAATGCTGAAAGAGGATGGGAGGGGACTTCTGGGAATTTGATAGTATTCTGTTTCTTGATATGGGTACTGATTGACTGACTATGTCCAGTTTGTAAAATTGTCAAGCTGTACACTTGTTTTGAACATGTTCAATCTGTAAAAGTTGATTAATCTGTATGCTTAGGATATATGCATCTGTCGGCAGGCATATAATATAGAAAATAAAAGGTGAAATGGTGGAACAAAACTGCTGTGATTACTGGGAATACAAAAGTATCTTGACAACATGGTTGGGATGGATATGGTCCACATAAGCTTTCCCAAGAAATCAATGTACTGCCTTATAAAAATAATTTAAACAGTCATGGAAAGCTTCACAGAAGGTAAGGGTTTACTAAACAAGAAGTAAGTTCTAGATGGTTTTTAGTCAGTTTAAAGAAATCAGAGCACAGGAGGGGTGAAGAGAAAGAAAACTAGCAGCCCAGGGTGATAACTCACCTCTGTAATTCCAGTGTTTGGGAAGCTGTGGCTTAGGGATGGTTATGAATTTGCAAGCAACCTGGGTTATGAAAAAGGGGAAGGAAGAATTGAGGAGAGAGAGAGAATGTTAAAAACTGAATAGCCAGACTTTCTTTTAAAATTAGAATAGACTTTGCTGCAATAAAAATGTAACAGTGGAAATTTGTTAGAACAGAACAATAGTACATAAAACTAAAGAAATCAGACACAATTATCAGTGTAAAAGAAATGGGAAAGCCTCAAAGATACATGAAGAGTAAACTTAAAAGACCAGGACATGTGTAACTCGAGCTCCAGAAAGGAAGTAAAAGGAGATCAGTGGAAAGCAATGTTCACAATCATAGCAGTGGATTCACTTCTAGAACTGACGAGGGAGGGGCTGAAATCCCTCTGATTTGTGAAGCTTAGTAAGTGTCAGATAGGACGAGTTGAAACATGCTACTTAAACACTCTATGATCAAACTGTAGAGACCAAAACCTAAGGTGTGGGGGAGGGTGTGCCAGAGAAGAGAGATGGCTTAAGTATCCTTTGGGATACATCTCAGCCTGACAGACAGCTTATCAATGCCAATCACTGAAACTAGATGATATATTCATGTTTCTATATTCCAAGAAAATAGAAGTCATCCTATAAGTATAATCCCAATGAAATTAAACTGCAAGGACTGGAACAAACCTAGACATTTGCAGGTAACTACCACCAGGGAAAATTTATTCCTCACTTTTTGAAGGACCATTTAGAGGCTCTTGGTGGAGACAGAATGATACTCTATGATCTAAACCAGGATTGCATAGCCTGCTGAGGAGAGAGCTCTCATGAATGCCAGCAATACATCCTTGGGTAGGCTAATGTATGTGAGAGAAAATACTCAACTATAAAAGTCTTCTCTCTTGAGACCAGGACCAAGAATAGAAGGGTGGACAGATGGTGCTTGTTTTGTGTCACTAAATAAGTATATGTTTTTCTCTACAAAAGCAAAAGACAGAAAATTAATTTAGGGAAGTTTTAGCGTTCTCAACAGAATGAATTTCTTTAGCTACAAAAGCACTTCTTGCCTTGTTGAGGGCAGTCCCTAGCAGGGATGGCTTGATGAAGCAGATAGTATCTTGTCTGTTGTGTAACAGAGGCAGTATAAGTTTGTGGTTGCGTTTTTAAAAAAGATTCTCAAAGCTCAAAGAACTGTGGTTCTTCCACGATTGTTTCTTCCTGTGTAAGTTAGTGCTCATGCTGTAGGGTTACCTATGAGGCCAAGAAACTGGCACATGGAAATCCTTCACTATGTGTGTTAATGTCAGCAATGTCCTGCATTCCCTCCTACTGCAAAAACATCACAGGGTAGCCTAAGGACCTGTTACATATTATAACAAACATTGCAGGCAGCACTTATTCATTCATTCATTCATTCAATGGCAGTGCTTCTAAAATCAATGGGATAGACAAAGTGTTTTAATTCTGCATCTTTCTAAATACTATTCAGGCTGCTTTGATGAAATTTTGAGAAAATAATTTTGCCACCCTCAGTGAAATCATGGATGATTTAAATTTAAACGTTATGAAGTGCCAAGAAGGCAATCTACAGCATAGCTCTAAAACATAGTAGAAACCACTGCTGACAATAGCTAAAAACGAACTGTACTCACACAGCTGTTCAGAGACACTGGCTTTCACCTGTAAGCTTACTTGCTGATTATTGGGTGCCCACATGTCTCTAGCACTATGACAGTTATTTATTAACAAGTAGTTACAACTCGTGCTTATTGACACTGGAAACATGATCTTCTAACCTTACACAATTTCTGATTAATCTAAAAGCTATTCCTAGGTCACTGCTCTAGTGAGGAAATAATAGCAGGCAGCTATACCTACCTGGATGACAGAGGCTCTTCCTCAGCCCCCAGTTTCCCAATACTCTGGGTCCAGAAGAGAAAGTCTAGCACAGGCAGTCTCCTTTGCTATGCCCTTATCTTTACCTGAGTGGTTCTTCTAGGTTTGAGTTCTGACATCCCCTTACCACTATTCAAAGTAGAGGAAACCATGTGTCTTCCTCATTTCCATCTCACTTACCAAACTTGGTTTTACATTCACAAACCCCAAACCAGATGAAATGTTACAAGCGCAGCTGATCATTATGCTAAAGTACTCTATCTACTTTGAGCTCTTGTTCTAGTCTTTAATCTCATACTCACCCATTTCGGGAGTGATGCTGCTCTTAACTGAGGAGGCTGGCAGATCTGCTTGTATCAAGAAGAGAAACCAGTAGTGTTGTGGAGACAGGAAATTGCACTCAGTTTTTGTCATAAACCAATGAGGAAGCAGCTTCTTAATGAGAAGGCTTACATTATCTGAGTTCAAACAAAAGGATCCCTTCGGTACTTTAAATGATGTTTGGGTCATTTATTGTGGGGTAATTGTCTTAACTCAGTTTTCTTTGCATCTTAATTATACATGTATACTTATATCTATGTATTTTTCTTTTCATATATATGTGTGTGTGTGTGTGTGTGAGCATGGTGAGTGCATGTGTGTGTGCAGTGCGTGTGTGTCACCTGTGTGCATGTTTGTGGAAGCCAGAGAAGGATGTCAAGTGTCCTGCTTTGTTTTTCTCTCTGCCTGTCCCTTTGACACAGGGTCTCTTACTGATCCTGGAAGTAGACTAGTGGCTAGCAAGCTCTGGCAGGCTTCCTGTGTCAGCTCACCCCACTCTTTTGGGCTTGAAAGCGTGCACATGGCTATTATGCACAGTTTTAGTTAAGCACTGAGATCCCAAGTCAGGTCCTCATGCTGTGCAGCAAGCACTCTTACCCACTGATTCATCTCCACAGACTGTGATGGTTATGCTTTACCAAAATGATATTTTACAATGATTTAATCCATTCATTTCTTTGTCCTGTCAATACATCTATTTCATTCCTACTGTACAGTGACAGTGCAGGCCCCTACATGTGTCATGAGTATTACTGCAAAAGGACTACTACCTATGAAAGAGAGGACCACGCAGTTACAGTATGGATGCAACAGAAGCATAGATAAGCACTTCTAGATACCCTTAAGTAAGGTAGTATGAGTCATTTGGATGTGTGAGAATCGGGAGGATACTGTGGACCAATTTGAGGTGATTTGGTTCATGGAAACAAAACAAGAGATGGAGCGATTTGTGGTGAACAGTGTGGTTTGATGGCAAAGTGGGTGGGGATATGAGTAGGTCAAGATGGGCACCTTTGTGAAACCCTTTTCCTGCCGGGGGACTAATAGGATTAGATGTGTAGTATTTGATTATAGAGACATTTTTCTCTTCTAGTAACCCTCTGAGGACAGAAAACAGTGATTGCTAAAAGCAACTGATGAGCCTGGCTCAGGCAAATAGATAATTATGCAATTCAAAAATTTGTTTGTTATATAGATTATTATTTTTAAAGGCTAATGCAGTATTTTAACAAGGTGAATCTTTAAGTGCTTTAACGGGAAATGAAATTAGTTTCTAGAACATCCTACTTTTGAGAAAAGAAAAGTTAAACATCATTTTAAGATGTATCACAATAAACTTTGATTAGAAATGAAGCCAAGAATATTACTTTGTCAGTATGAAATTAATAAATATTGTTTTTTAAGTATGAAATTAATTTTGAGTGGAAAGTTCTAACTTATTTTTACACCCTAGTTTGTGTTGCTGGAAGGACAAATGGGATCTTGTAATACAGCTGAGACTTTTCATCTTGGAGTTACCTAAGGTATATCAGGAATGTGAAGGCTTTTGAAAGTTTCTTTGTATGTCTTTAAGAATCATGAAAATATGCCTGGTTTTGGTAGTGCACACCTTTAATCCCAGCACTAGGGAGGCAGAGATAGGTGGATCTCTGAGTCTGAAGTCAGCCTGGTCTACAAAGCAAGTTCCAGGATAGCCAGAGATATAAGCAAGCAAGCAAGCAAACAAACAAAAGAATCATTCAAACAGTGCATTTGTAAAATACTCAAGAATTTGTAAATAACATGTAGTAACTGAAAACTTCAGGATATATTGCCATATAGATGATGAAAATATTAGGTAAAATGTAAAAACCGAATGGCCAAAGGCTTCAGGTCCCAGGGGCAGTAGGGGTGGTGGTAGCTCACTTAATGTAGTGTTCTCTTTGCAACCATGGGAATGTGAATTCCATCCCTAGAGCCAGTATCACAAAAAAACAGTGTGGTGGTGCATGATGGTAACCAGGTAATGATAGGCAAGTTCCAGGTTAGGAAAAGACTGCCTTAAAGTCTAAAAAAAGAAGAAAACAGCAAAGAATGGAGGTGCGTGGGGAGCAATTCCCAGGGTGGCCCTCAGTCTGACATGTGCATCTGGACACATGTGCACACACATGTGAATCTGCACACATATGTATGCACACCACATGCACATATACACACATACAGAAAAATGGGCTTAAAAGTTTACCAAAATGGAAATAATATTCATGACTACAAATCTCTTTTTCTGCTTGGCTTTGTACATTTGCCTTTTTTTTCTGTTTCACGATTCACACAGTATCTAATTTTACCTAGATAGACCCTACTTCTGTTTTTAGAGAAAGAGTATTTTCACATCCATGTCAAATATCTACGTACTTTACTCTTTTAAAAAGAGGATGTAGTTAGAGAACATGAGATACAAACTTTCACTTCTGCTTAAATAAGGAAAAAAATGCTAGTGCACTATAACAAAACCTCTATTACTTCACACAGGGAGACATTCACCAACTTTTATGGATTCTGTATCTAGTTAGTTGAAAATATAGTAGTGCCATATTTTAATATACAGGGATATTTGATGAACAGTTGGAAACTTCAGAGCCCTGAGGCACTGAGGCGTTTTAGCAATATAAAGGCCAAATCAATGAAAAGTTACTCAGAATACTGGCTTTATGGAGTCAGAATTCTTGGACCAGTCGGTTTCCTTGTCTTCTGAGAATCACAAAGCGGACCATTGACAGTGGCCAGAGGCAGCACACTTGGGCTTAAAACAGGAAAGAAGGCAAACGAATGTGGACATGATGGGTTACGACTTCTCCATGAGCAGACAGCGTGGGTAATTACTCTGCTGATGAAGACTCTTTTTTTTTTTTTAAGTCTGCATCACTTGTCTGGTACAATTTCCAGGATTCAAAGCAGCAAGCAAATATGGCAAGATCAAGTTCTGACATCCCACTATGTATTCTTATTTGTATTTATTTTTACACGTCCAATTAGTCATTTTGTAGTTGTTGCCTAAAGGGAAAGGATTCTGGGCAGAAATTAATGGGGGAAAAGTGTTTTGATTGAGTTTCAAAAGAGGCCGCTGATAGAAAGGAACAGTTGCTTGGGGTTTTATCCAAATTCAGATGTGATGTATGCATAAAGTATAGACTCTTAGAAAATTATATATGAAGAAAAGAATTTAGGATAAATGTTTGTATTGATTACGTACTGTGATGGGAATGTTTCAGATATCTGGGGTTAAATAAAAACCACCATTGAAGTTAATGTTCTGTTGTAACATTGATGTGGCTGATATCCAAGTTCAGATGATGTCTGTGTTTGGTGCTATCTCTGTTGGTCAGCATCCTGCTGGATGTTGAAATAATGTCCCTTGTGAACAGCATTGTGGTTTGAACATGAGATGTTTTGCAGAGCCTCCTGTTTGAATGCTTGGTGCCCCTGGCGGTGCTGTTTGGGGAAGGTGGAGCCTGGCTGGAGGAAGTGGGCCAGGGAAATGGGTATTGATTTTGTATAGCCTGGCCCCACTTCCTGTTCACTGTCTGTTTCCTGGTTGCAGAAACAATGTGACCAGTCACTCACATCACACCCTGATGCCATATAGTACCTAACATGATGAATTATAGCTTCTTAAACTCTAAGACAAAAAAACAACAACAAACCAACCAACCAAACAAGCAAACAAAAAAACCATTCCTCTTCAAGTTGCTTCTTGTCAGTTATTTGGTTATGGTGACAGAAAAAAATAAATAAAAGGTCATTAACATATAAACTGCTATTTTCTTCATGCCTAGGAATTAGACTCTTAATTTCTCTCCTGGCAGGAACACACACACACACACACACACACACACACACACACACACACACACACAGGATATTGAAAATTGAAAAGAGACTAAACATACTACAGATACAGCACGGGAGTGAAATTTCCTGGATTTCTTTTACTTGGGCAAATGTATGCAGTAAACACCACTGACAAATGAACTACAGGCAGAAGAGGCAATTTTCAAAGTGGGAAATTTTGTTCTAATGATCACATTAGCCAAGGATTATATTCAGCCAGGGTTGTTTGCTGCAAACAAAAGAAGCTGTGGTCACCTGTTACAAAAAGTGGCCTGGAAAGCAGTCAGGGTGTGGTCCACAAGTGATGCAGAGCCCCAAGGATGAGGCTTAGGACACTGGTTAGAGACGAAGAACAGAAACCCCATCACCCACCCCACATGGACTTTCAGATTAGGATGTGTCTGCTGACCCCACTGTGCTGGGCCCTTAGGGCCACCTTAACTGGAGTCTCTGTGGCACTCCCTCCCCTGGACTCTTGGGGTTCCAGTGTGATGTCTCCACTGTGCATACTTCTGGTCACCCTCCCAAGGTCAAAGGACAGTTGACTGCACTGAAGGCAGGAAGAGGGAGACTCTGGTTTCTTCATTCTTGAAAGAGGCATAATTCTGCTCCCAAACACTCTTGCCATGGGTATTCAGTTATAGGTCTGGATGAGTGCAGACCCAAACACGGGGAAATGCCTCAGTGGGTAAAGGAGCCTACCACCACGATGCTTGATGACCTGGGTTCTCTCCCTGGGACCCATGTAGTAGGAGAGGATCTCTGACCACCACATATGCACAGTGTCATGGGTGGTCAGCCCCACAAATAAACATATAATAAAAGAAGTAAAGAAAAAAAGATCAACAGCATTCAAAACACAAAAAGGGCACTAAGTTCCCACTCTGTAATGACAGAAATCTATTTTCCCCGAGTTTGCTGAGATATGAGAAATGAGGAACACTCAAAAGTTATACTGTTAAGTTTGTACATCACTTCTGTAACATCTTGTATGTTATGTGATGATGACTGTTCTAAGTGCTGTGTGAGTAGTAACTTGACTAAATTTCCCATCACTACATTGCCACCATCATTTCATAGAGGGGGAAACTGATGTCCAAAGAGGTTATGCCCCTTATCCATAATATCTAAGTAGTATGTTGGAGGAGAGAGATTTGAGACCAAGCTGTCTGGAGTTTAAGAGCCAATATTGCCATCACACTTAGTTATGTTTTTGTATACATATGCTCTTAAGAAAGCAACCAGTAAACAATGTACAATTTATTCCACATGGTGGATTCTTTCCTTTGAACCATTTTCATTGTTATCTAATGCTCTGAGTTAACAGATCTCCATCATGTATTAAAACATGCTGGGTGTTTTGCCTGAATGTATTTCTGTGTGCCATTTGCATGTCCAGTGCCTATACAGTCGTCCATTCCTTTGGGATTGGAGTTACAGATGGTTGTGAGCCACCATATGGGTACTAGGGATTGACTGGGTCCAATGCTCTTAATCCTGAGCTATTTCTCTGGTTATCATTCTGTGCCATATATATATATATATATATATATAAAATTTATGTGTATGAATGTGTCTGTGTGATTACATGCACACACATGCATGTGAGTCATATATGTTTCATATATTATATAATATATTTGATGTTATATAGTACATATATTTATATGGTGTTGATGAATACTCTGTGTGCGTGCATGCACACACATGGGAATCATATACATATATATATATATGGAGAGTGTTATATAATATATCTGATATCATAGTGCATATATTTTTTTAATGTTCATGAGAATGGCCATGTGTGTGCATGCACACACGTGTGTGTGACTGCATGTTTGTAGAAAGAGGGCAGCCACACAAGGGTGTTGGATGACTAGGCACAGGAATTACAGGTGTTTGCTGATGCCAGACTTGTAAAGTACTAGAATCCAAACTCTATTTATTCCTCCTGGCTCAGTATGTGGCTCTCTGAACCCTGAGCCATCTCACCAGCCCCGCAGTCACGTAATTTTTGATGAAGTTAGTTTACAAGCTGCTGTCACAATTGTAGTTCAGCAACTATACCCAGAATTGAAAGACCAGACTTACAAGCTGATATTACAGGATGTCTTTGAAGAGACGGGACTTCAAATCCTTTCACGCACTGGGGAAGCCTCAGAAGAGTGTTTCCAACTCCTTTAGTGAATAATTCATCTTGTCTCCTCACGTGACTAGTGACTTTTTAAAAATTTCAAATTAAGCAATATATACTGCATATGTATGTGTTGGACACTGCTTAGAAAGTGTGTACTGTGATATAGCAGATACAACAGACTGTTAGCAAACTCGATGATTACATTTTCTTTAAGAGGCAAGATTGCTTTTCTTTCTCAAAAGATTGTGGCTTTTCTCTTATTTTTAACTTATAAAATGGAGATGTTTACAGGGACATAAGTAGGATACAAGGAAATACTTCAAATTTAAAACCATTTAAAAGAACACATTTGAAATGTGCCTTTGACCTTCCTCTCCTAGTCTTATCTCATTGAACCTGAAGCCATGTATGTAAGAGACACTAGGAACATGATTGATTTTCTGATAACCATGATTTGTCTCTGTCTATCTCTATGTCTGTCTGTCTCTCTCTCTCTTTCTCTCTCTCTCTCTCTCTCTCTCTCTCTCTCTCTCTCTCTCACACACACACACACACACACACACACACACACAAGTGGATTTTCTTTTCTAGTTTCTAATCACAACTTTTTCTTTTAATAGAGTGCGTTCTTGTTGGTTTCCTGAATATAGATTAGCGATCTGAAACAAGAGCTGTTTTGCTGTTTTCTTTGATGTATGAACTGTAGTGTTTCCTGGAGAGGGTGGAGGGGGCGGGGTTGAGGGGAAGCTACCTTCTCTGTTAATGGTTTCTGTTTCCTCTCCTGCATAGTTCACACATTGCATGAAATCTATGGCCTGCCTTCCAAGTAAAAGTTGGAATGGGGTACCCATGATGCAGGATGGCATGTGCTGAATGCTGGCTTACACTTCCTGCTTTCGTGTTTACGGTATGAGTTCCAGGCTTGGTGAGAGGCCTTGCCTCCAAAAATAAGGTGGAAGAGTTGGGGATATGGCATAAGAGCACTTACTGCATAATCTCAGGATCTGAGTTCACACCTTCAGCACCCACATAAAAAGCTGAATATGGTGGCAGGCACCTGTAATCCCAGTGCTGCAGAGGGTGAAGGAGACAGGTGGGTTCCTGGGGCTTGTTGGTTCAGTATGAAATCCTACCTCAAGGGAATAAGGTAGAACATCATAGAGCAAGACACCCGAAGACCTACTCTGGCCTCTTTTAGGACACCGGTGCATATCCCCAAATATATTTGCATATAATACACATACACACACACGCCTGTACAAATATATGCATATGCACACACATACACACCTAGAGGAAGAATGAACAAAGCTACTGTCCAGAAGAACCTAGAGGTATCACAGGTGCTTATAAGGCTGACTGTGGGATTTCCAAGTGATTTGATTTACCCCTTCATATAATCTATAATTGTGTTTGTTATGGTTAATCTTCATTATCAACCTGACTGAATTTAGAATCCACACAAAACACACCTTTGGGTGTGTCTATGAAGATGTTTCCAGAAAGGCTTTACTGAAGAAAGGAGACTCCTCCTGAATGCAGGTTGGCACTATAGATGGCAGTGGTCCTGGACAGAACAAAAAGGAAGTGAACTCAGTGCCAGCAGTCACCTCTCTCAACTTCCTGATTACAGATGCAACATAACCCGGTACCCACAGGGTCCTGCTGGCATCTGCCATGAAGGGTTGTACCTTCCAACTGTGAGCCAACATAAGCCCTGCCTTCCTCAAGTCATTTATCAGATGTTTGGTTACAGCAGTGAAAAAAGTACTTAAGATATCAGATTTAGGTTTGCTGTTAACAACATAGCTTATTACAAAGATAATTATGCTAAGCCTCATGTTCCCTTGTCTTCTCCTTGCCATTCTGGTATCTCAGGGGCTTGGATGGGAACTCAGATGATTCTGTGTTTCCCACTAAAGGAAATTTTAGAGGAAAAAAACCTTTTTCTTTAACTGCTCACAACCTAATTTTCTATAATATCAAGGGAATCAGAATTCCCAGGGCAGTTCACAACTTCCCTAACAATTTAGGGTTATCTGTCTGGAACCAGTTCACTGACAGCGGAAGACAGCTCATCATAGGTGCAAGGAAGCATAAATTTACTTTTGCCATCTTTGGGTACTGGTTGAACCTAAGAATTAAATGGATGTGAAGGACTTGGTGGACAGAAGCATACAAGTTCAAAAAGGGGCAGACCCTAAAAAAAAAAAAAAAAAAAAGAAGACTCTCCACACAGGTTAATGACTCCTGTGTTGAATCAGACCAGAAAGTAGTTAAGCTGTAAAATGTGGTAATGGAGAGGGGCCAGCAGTCATGTCCAACCTTTTCTATTGTGACACCATGTTGTCAGCTACAGACTTCACACTTGATGTCTGCACAATTGAGTGTTTAAAAAATCATAAAGTCTCATAATGTTTTAAGTTTATGCACAATCTTGTGGTGGGCTGCTTCCATAGCTAACATCTGCTACATGTGGTCTGCAGGCACAGGTATGGATGTACCTGGCAGGGTATTTAACTGACTAGGAAGTGAGCGGGAAGGGAAGGGTTACTGTAACAAGAATTGACAAATAGTGCTACTTCCTGATATTTTTGTCGGGGCATCTTACATAAGTGACTTTCATATTCCTTTAAGAAACGGAATAAAGGCCAGAGTACCCTGGACCTGTTGTATTTTTCAGGTCTTTTAATTCAAAATAGTCAATATGTTAGAGCTACATTTTTTGGGGGGAGGAGGGTAATCGATTCTTAACTCTTTTAAGGCTAAAAGCCCTGGATATAGCAGAACGCTTAATCGGATGGAAAACTGTCAGCTAGCATTTGCTAACTGTTCCTAGTGCCTATCTTACTTTTATCTTATTTAATTCCAAGTTCCCCGACTTGCTGTTCTTGTTGGTTTAGAAAAGTTCAGGGTCCTAAAGCCAAGAGGCTCAACCAAGATGACCACGTAACTGGGCGCTTAGCTTGGGGCTTCTGGCCAGGTCCCCTTCCTTGCTGTTTCCTACTGAGAACGAGCTACTAGGGTCGGATCTGAGCTAGGGTAGGACCACTCACAGCCCTCTTCTTTTGACAGTCGTTGACCATCCACTTCCCATTCACTACCATGATCCATCAGATGAGGTAGGAAGACTGGTCACTAAGTAATTACACGCACAGACCGGTACAGCCTCACTGACAGCGGAGTGACAAGGCAAAGCTCGCTCGACCTCTCCCTGTTCAACACTACTGCGGCTGCGCTGACAGCCCACGGCCCTGACTTAAGATGGCGAAAGCTGCTTCAACCGCCCCCAGTTCTTCATCATGGAGGCCATCGGGCCCGCCTCCCAGGGCGCCACAGTCACGTGACCCGCACAATGGCTGACAGCCCACTTCAGGCTTCCCAGCAACGCCAAGCTAAAGTCATGACCGCCGCCGCCGCCGCCGGCTCGGCAGGCCGTGTCGCGGTGCCCTTGCTGTTGTGCACACTCCTGGCGTCCGGCGGCGCCTACGTGATCGACGACTCCGACGGGCTGGGCCGGGAGTTCGACGGCATCGGCGCCGTCAGCGGCGGCGGGGTGAGAGCGGAGTGGACTGGCGGGAGGCAAGGATGCTCGGGAGCGCGGGGGCTGCCGGAGGTGGGCGGTGAGGGGGACGCCCCGTCCCACAAGCCCCCGCGGCGTTGCCGGGCGAGCAGACGCCGCTTCCGGCGCTCGCCCCTAGGGGATGAAGCCCGGCCGGCAGTTAGAATAGAACGGAGCAGCCGGAGGTCTCGAGGAAGGGGACAGCTGTCTGCAGTGAAGAGGCGACCGCTCGAGGATGCCCTCGTTCTCGGTCGCCCGCCTGGGCTGCCCTTGCCGCGCTGGAAGGGGTCGCCTCGGAAAAAGCTAGAGAGGGAACGCGAAGCCTCTGAGGGATTCTCTAGTGTCTTTTTTTCCTAGGGACAGAGATGGTGGGGGCCATGAAGACACAGGCCATAGGCCAGTAGTGCAGCAGGATATGGGGACCTTTCTTGAGCAGCGAATAGTACATCCCTCCTCCCCATGCGACTGTTGCCTCATAGACTCTTCAGGGTGGTGTAAGGTCTGAAGCAATCTGGGACGTTTTTTAAAGAGGACCACCTTCATCCACTAACAGAAACTGCCAAGAGGCTATGCAGTGTGTGAGGGATGAGGAATGCTGACCCTCTTAGGGTGCACGAGAGTCATCACCAGATGTGCTGGTTAAAACTTAAGTTCTGTCCCCTGTCCTACCCCCCATTCTGACTGTGTCATAAGCACCAGCTAATTCTCAAAAGAAAGATTGCCGTTTGATTCAAGGATCTCAGGAGTGGGAAGTGGTTTTGTTTTTAAAGTGAAACGAACAAGAAAAGTTAGGAACACATATAATGTTCTATATACCCCAACGTTTTGTGTGTGTGTGTGTGTGTGTATACTAATGAACTAATCTCTATTCTCATTAGTGTTTCTTATTGTTTTTTATTTAAATTTAAAATAGCAAGTATTTCATATAAATCCTCGATCTCTCCTATTGGTATCTTTGTGAATAAACATTTTTATATATACATACTCATTTATTTATATTCTAACGTGATCCTTTTTTTCTTTTTTATCATTTATCATTTTTTAATTTTAATTTTAAATAGCTTGTTTTACATGTCAATCCCAGTTCCCTCTCCCTCCCCTCCTCCCACACTCCCCTTCCCCCCCAGCCTCCCACCCTATTGCCAATTCCTTCCACATAGGGGATATCTAGAGTCTGTCATTTCACTCTGGGTAGGGTCCAGGCACTTCCCTAAGAGTCCAGGCTGAGAGAGCAACCCTCTTTGTGCTATGGGCACACGATGACTGTTTGTATTCCAGGGAGGGATAGACACTGAAAAGTTGAAATCTTTAGCTTTACTTATTTAGCTCAATTTAAGATTAATAATTTCATAATCTGGTGTGGTTGAGTGTGCCTTTGATTCCAGTACTCAGGAGGTAGAGGCAGAGGCAGGTACAGGTGGATCTCTGTGCTATTGAGGTCAAACTGGCATACCTAGCAAGTTTCCAGGCCAACCAAGTGCTACATCATGAAACTCTGTCTTTAAAAGCAATCACTTAATAACCTAGAACAGCAAGTTCATCTTTATTTTTAATAATTTAAGTGTGTGTGTGTATGTGTGTGTGTGTGCTGGGAGCATATGTGAGTTCAGGTGCCTATAAAGGCCAGAAGTAGATCATTGTAAGTTTCCATCTAACCAGCCCCCACAGCAGGTAATTCTTATCTAATAAAATATTCAGTTATTAATGTCTGTACTGTGTTACTCAGTTTAGGAGAGCTATCAATAATGAATGAAGATGGTTGAACCCTTTGTTTGCATGCCAGTTTGAACTGTGTGTGTGTGTATGTTTAACTCTTGCTACACAGCACAGTTTGTAGCAGCATTTAGACTGCTCTGGTTTTACCCACATGTTTTTAGGAAAGCATGCTGGTGTAGTAGTTGAAATGTGACCATGACAGGTTATTGGGGATCATTCTCGTGAGGACATTCTCCTAATGGCTTTGGCAAGTTATTTCATTTACCTGTGCTTCAGTTTCTTTTCTGAGGGAACAAAGATAACTGCCTGGCAGTTGCATTGTGAAGTCCAGGTGTGATTAGCCTGTTGTGATAATTGTAATATTTTAGGGATTAGGGAGGAGGAAGTTGTTTTAAGGTCTTGTGATTGAATAAAGTTACCCAAGGCTACTTCCTGGTATTGCACATAGCTTCAGGCCTTATTTAGGCACCTTGGTTAGTAATTTGAAATTTTATTGTTTAATGTTGTGATTCAACGTTTAGGTCTATTGCATTTGCCTAATGTTTGCACTGAGTGTGACTACTGCCTTGTTTTTCTAAACCTTGTACTTACTATGTTAAGAGAAGTTATGCATAGGTAGCAAAAGAACTCCCAGGCAACAAACTATGCATTTCTGATTGCATAATGCAAACTAGGTATAATTACTTATGATGGTCATGTGTAATGACAGCATTATGTTGGCATGCAGACAGTGTTCATTTAATGAATGCTTTTTCTGACATTTGAGCCTCTGCTAGGCTGTAACGTTTTTTAGAACAATGTAACATTTTTAAGCGTGTGTGTGTGTGTGTGTGTGTGTGTGTGTGTGTGTGTGTGTGTGTAACCGCCATTTATCTGGTACTTACTATGTGCTTGGGCTCATCTGTACTTTTAATGGGCATCTTGATGTTACGACACCTGAATGAGTACCCTGCTTTATTGCTTGCTTGTGATCTCATGGCATGCTCCATTCAGCTCAGTGCCTCCTACAGATGTTCTTTGTACCTGTGCAACAAAACCATAGAAGACACTAAATAGCTGGTTTTTGAATAGCGAGGGGGTAAGGACGAGAACTGGAGGAAGGCATGGCCTATCAAGGAACTTGAAGGTGAGAGCAGCGCCTGGCATGAGGATGTAATAGAGACATGGATCTGGTTCTAGTGTTGCCCAAAGAAGTGCTTGGGTTAATGGGGAGTGGCAGAGGCAGCTTTGCCTGAAGAAACCGACTGTGAGACTATAGCTAAATATTGAAGTGGAGTTGACTGGACAATGAAAATGCAGTGTCCATTCCAGGCAGGCAGGGAACAAAGGACCTTTTGATATGTCCGGATTAAACGCTCGAGAGTGATAGGCAAACTGGCAGAAATGGATTCCGGATACTAAAGGATTTAAAACTAAGCAATTGGAATTTTAGTTTTGAAAGCTATTAGAGAACAGGAAACCTTAGCAGAATAATGACAGACAGGGTTACACTTTTGTTTGGAGAATATCGAACTGGTAACTGGTGTGGAGAGTAGTATACAGGGAGGTGAATGTTAAGCCCCTGAGCTGTTGTCCTTATTCTACTGAGGAGGGCTAGGTTAAGCCAGTGGGGTTGATGAGTAGGGAATGAATGTTGTGGTGGTGGTGGAAGCTTTACCCTAGGCCCTGGCATCCATATACCCAGAGAGTCTGGAATGTTATCGTGGAAGTTCCAACCCATCCCTCCTCCCCTATCTTCCTCCAAATCCTGCTGCATCTCAGAAAGCCCAGCAAATGATGACCCCACCCCTGGAGATGCTCAAAACCACTCCCACAGGGTATTTAAACTGCCTCCCAGAAAATAGACTCATGTTTTCCCAGCCTCTCCTGTCTCCTCTCTTGTGAGCTGGAAGGCCATCCAGGAGTGTCATACCCATTAAACGTGGGCTTTTTCTAATTCAGTTTGATTTGGTCAGTTTGATTTGTTGCATCTGTGGAGAGCCTATCAGTGTGTAGAAACTCATCAGATGTAGGAGCACTGAGGACCTCTTGGTGACCGAGGATGACTTTGTTGAAAAGGTGAACTCAGGTTTATGGCTTAGACAGATGTTGCATTTTAGGAAAGTAGACAATGTAGAAGGAACAGATTTGATAAGAGTGCTGCTTGGTTTGGATCTCTTGTGCTCCATGACATGGTTTGTGACTCTGAGAGACAGGGTAGGAGGAGTCTGAATCTGAGTAAGTAGACTGGGCACCAACCAGAATGTCATGTATGAGATCATGAAGAGTGGATTGAGCTCTGTAAAAGCCAGGTATCTTTTTTTTTCCATTTAGAAAAGAAAAGCCAGGTATCTTACATTTGTCGTATTCTTGGCAAATTCGTGTTAATTTCCATTTCATGGTGATAAAAACCTACCCCTGTTTCCCTTGCTTATGTCACCAGGCAAAGGCCCTTCCATAGTTCTTATATTCTTGAGGGAGAGAATCCAGGTTGACACACATTTTAAGCAAAGACTGACTATTCAGTAAAGCAAAGCAAACACTTCAAGGAGATACTGCAGTAGATTGTCCCCAAAGCAAAGGGCAAGCAGTCCAGTAGGTTTTGTGTTAAGAATTTTAAAGAATTTTTTATGATGATGATGGTCCATTTTCCTTTCCTAAACCATGGAGGACCAGATCTCTCCTATAGAATATTCCCATAATGAAGTTAGGGTCTTTTGAGGATGCAACCCTTTCATTAATGTATACATGTGGCAGGCAGTTGGGAAAGCATCCTGGTCCCCTAGTCCTTCCTTCCTTCCTTCCTTCCTTCCTTCCTTCCTTCCTTCCTTCCTTCCTTCCTTCCTTCCTTCCTTTGTCCCTTCCTTCCTTCCTTCTTCCCTCTCTCCCTCCCTTCCTTCCTTCCTTCCTTTCTTCCTTCCTCCCTTCCTCCCCCCTCTCATTTTTTGAGACAGGGATTCTCCATGTAGCCCTTGCTATCCTGGTACTCACTCTAGATTAGATTGGCCTCAAACTCAGAGATTCACCTGCCTCTGCCTCCTGAGTGCTGGGATTAAAGGCATGTGTCACCACTCCCTGGCTGATACCCTAGTTTTTAATGAGGTAGAAAGATGCTAGCTTCAGCTTCAATGATGCCTGTAAACACAAAGGGGGCATTTTGATCCTCAGGAGACACAAAGTCTTCAGGTCCTTGGTTTTATCATGTCTTTACTGCTGCCTAACTAGAGACACCATCATGAAGGCACAGCTCTAGTTTTCCTTGGTTATGTCATCATATCTAAGGGCTTGCCTACTCATTGATAGAACCTCCCAAAGTTTGGGTTTTTGGTTCACTAATGGTTTTCTTTTTTTCAAGCTGCCATCAGTCAGGGTATGACTAAATTTAGTTAGTACCTGTACTTTCTACTTAAGTTTTTCCATTATTTCTATTACCAATTTGTGAATGGTTTTGTTCACACAGTCTTGTCTTGGGAATCATTGTGTAGCAGATTGTATTTATAAAGATGAAGGGATTACTGTTTCTTCTCAGCATTACTCTTATATGGCTGTAAGATATTAATGGGTAAAATTGTCTGAGATTCATCTCATTTATCTTTGCACCCGATAATTTTTATTTATTTACATCCAAGAGCAGTTTCCTCCTCCTCATCTCCTCCCAGTTCCTCCTCCTACCTCCCTTGTGTCCTGCCCCCATCCAGCCCCCCTCCTTTTCTTTTCAGAGAAGCTCAGGCCTCCCATGGATATCAACAAAACATGGCATATCGAGTTGCAGTAAAACACCTCACCTGAGTTCGTCAGTCCAGTGTGAGGAATAGAACCCCACAAACCCTAGTCCCCAGATATTTATAAGTGGTGTGAGATAGAATATTTCAGTTTCAAGACAAAATTGAAATCATGTTTTAGTTATTTTTCTTGTTGCTATGACATAATTCCCCCAAACGAATTCAAGGGAGCAAGGATTTATTTTGGCTCCCAGCTTGTGGGTTTGGGCCATCATGGACAGGAAGGAGGATGAGGCAGCACACACTGCATCTGCAGCTAGACAGCAAGAGAGATGCTGGAGAGACATGATGGCCTGTGTTCAGCTAGACAGCAAGAGAGATGCTGGAGAGAGATGATGGCCTGTGTTCAGCTGGCTTGCTTCTCATTGGACAGTTTGAGGCCTCAGCCCCTCAATGGTTCTATTCACATTATGGCAGGCCTTCCCGCCTCAGTTAACTCCCTCACAGATGTGCTCCAAAGTTTGTGATTCTAGATCCTGTCAGGTTGACAGTGTTAGCCATCACAATGTTTTAATAGCCTTTTAAAGCTCATCTCTCAGTCAGCTTTTATATCAGCCGAAGAAAACCTATTAGCGCGTAGAAAAACTGATTGGGTGCAGATCAACAGCGTGAAGACTCTCCACAGCTCCGCTTGCCCAAGAAGTGGTCAAATAGGAACGTATTGGGGGGTATGTGTGAATACTATAGACAAGTATTGATGATTATATTTGCTTTACTCATATTCTTGAAAACTTTTTTCCCAGGCAACCACTCGGCTTCTAGTAAATTACCCAGAGCCCTATCGTTCTGAAATACTGGATTATCTCTTTAAGGTAAGGAAAACTAAATGTCTTCTGGAACTGTGATGCTTTGAGAGTATATGGTGAATTTCAACCATAGAGTCTGTGAGCTCTCTGAAAGGGTTTGTAAACAATGGCCGAGTAAGCTGGGGATAAACTGCCTTTTGAGGCTTGATCTTTTCATCTGTACGGCCACAGGCCTCTAGGGGTGATTGCGTGGAGGTTTTACACAATGGAGCACAGTGGTAATACTGTTATTTCTTCCCACAGCCAAACTTTGGTGCCTCTTTGCATATTTTAAAAGTGGAAATAGGTGGTGATGGGCAAACAACAGGTAGGAGGATTTGGGAAATAGGATTTCCCCCCAACATTTTAACCTATACTTAAACATACAGGACATTGTAAGGAGGGTCCATTCACTTGAGATTGAATGGCCTACAGCAGATTGTACTGTATTTTTCTTCTCTCACATTTTCAGGCACGCGCGCGCGCGCGCGCGCGTGTGTGTGTGTGTGCGCGCGCGCATGTGTGTGCCCATGCGCGTGTGCATGTGTGCATGTGTATATGTATGTGCGTGCATGCGTGTGTGCATGTGTGTGTGTGTATGTATGTTCATGGCTTTGTGCATGTTGAGGGTAGAGGATGGCTTGAGGGAGCCAGTCCTTTCCTTCCACTGGGAATCTGACTGAGGTCCCCAGACTGGGTGACATTCACCTTTATCTGCTGAGCCATCTTGATGACCTGGCTTTTCTCTTTTCATTTTTTAAAAACTTAAGTCATATTTAAATTTTCAAAATAGTTTTGAGGCTCTAAATTATCATTTAGTTGAAGATTATTAGAGAAGCAGAGCCAGTATTCTAAAAATCATGTACACTTGGAATTTTATGGAAAATTTATAAGAAAAAATTAATTATGTGTAAAATATTAAGATGTTATTAACTTTAAAAATATATTGTAAAATGTAATCTATATTTTAAAGACATATAACTTTTTCTTTCTTTTTAAAATAAGCATACATTAAATAATTATATGTTCAACCATCATAGCCAAAATTTAAAGTATTTCTTTTAATACTTATAGGCCAGTCCCATTAATATTAACTTGAGAGTATCTTCTGTATGTTTGACTAATGATTTCAAAGTAATTTTTAAGAAAACTGATTTCTTTTAACATTATGTGCATGAGTGTTCTGTCTGTTTGGATACATGTAAACCATGTGCATGCCTGGTACCTGCAGAGGCCAGAAGAGGGTGCTGGGTTCCCTAGGACTGGCTTTTCAGATGCTTGTAAGCCTTCATATGGGTGCTGGGAGCCAAGCCCATGTTCTCTGGAAGAGCAGCCTTTACTGCTGAGGCATCTCTAGCTTGCTGAAATAATTTTTTAACAGGTAGTCTGAGTTGGCACTCTTATTGGAATTTTAGGACAAAAGCCTTGGCTTCCAGTGTGACAAGCTAGGTTTGACTACTTATCAGGGACTTGGCGGTGGTGACAGACAGGAAGGGCACTCCTACCACTCCAGACCACACTGAATGATTAGAAAAAGGTCTAGTGACCCATGACTTGTTATTGAGGGACTGACAAGGACTTTGAGGCCTTATTGAAAGGAGGAAGGAACGCTTACATCTGTGGTTTGGCTAGCTCGAGTGTTTCATAGTTGGCAGAGCAGATAACTGGTCAGGCTGTGGTCTGATTGTTCATTATCTCAAGGCTGGTTCTGCAAAAGGCCTGAGAATTCATCCTCCCCTGAGAAAGCAACTTGATTTCCCTTTTAGACTACTGTGGGAGACTCACTGTTGTTTTGGGAGGTTTTCTTTTAAGTCTGTTGTGATAAAGATGTTTGTGGATGAGAACTATTCTTAGAATCCAAGATAACTGTACAACAGTGTAATTTAGGAAAACACAGAAGGAAAAAAGTTTATGAGTCAAAATGAAGTCAGAGAGGGAGAAGATGACAGTGAGGTAGGTCAGTGGCTGGATGCTCCTTCAGTATGCATGTGTAAATTATGTGGAAAGGAGAAAATCAAAGCTGGAGTAAACCTCTGGAACAGAAGATTTTCTCAGAAAGTGTCTTGTTAAAACCCATAGACAGGTGCTCATGCTGATCTGGTATATTTGCTGAAGCTAAATTCGAGGTAAAGACACATAAGTGCCTTCTCATTCGTCATTAAAGAAGAAACGGGCCAGAAGGGTCATGCTTAAGAGGCCCCATTTAGCAATACTGGTGTTTGCCATGCATGACAACACATAGGGCTTGGATGTCAGGGACCTACCTCTGGCCTCCGTGTTTCCTCTGCTGTCTGTGAGTGCTACCATAGGACTTTGATATTGTTCTAGTCAGCATGTATATCCACCTTTCCTTGAAGCTTACCTTATCCTGTCACATTGCATGGTGGAATATAAGAATGCAGGACTCAGGGGTACAGGGATTCAGACCCAAAGTTGAGAGTGAAAGTTGAGGTGATGTGGACTTGAGGTTGGACACCTGAACATGGAAACCTCAGAGAGATTGAGAGCTCAGCAGAACTCAGTCCTGGGAATCTATAGCAATAAATGTTCAGTACTGTTTTTAAAATATCATCATGGTATTATTATTTAAAAACAGTGTTAAGGTAATGAAAAATATGAAATGATGTACTTTGCAAAGCCACCATCTTATATAATTCTTATCTGCACGTCTGAATCAGAACTAGAGTACAAAAAAAGTACCACATTAAAAAATGGTTTTGTGTGTATCTGTGTGAATGTGAGTATGTGCGAGACTGAGTGTGTGTGTGAATGATATATATATATATATATACATATATATGCATATATATATATGACTTAAATGGCTCTAGAAAACATTATCCCTGGGTCATTTCCTTCCTTTTGCTCTCCCTATCCAGATGGCACTGAACCCTCCCACATGCACTATGAACTGGATGAGAATTATTTCCGAGGCTATGAGTGGTGGTTAATGAAGGAAGCCAAAAAGAGGAACCCTAATATTATACTCATGGGTAAGGAAGTACTGCTTAGGGGTCTCTTTTCCTTTAACTTTTATATTGGGAATAATGCCTGTGAGGTCTGTGTTAATACTGAAATACTAATGTTTTGATATTACCTCCATACTACCAGAATCAGAAATGGCCTTCATTGTCACTGCTTATGCTGTCTATCCTTATGTCTTATAGTTAATCCTTTTATCTGTATTTGGTTCTTTTATATGTCTATATTTGATTGATTGATTGATTGATTGATTGATTGATTGATTTTTGAGACATACTTTGTGACCTAGCCCAGGGTAGCCTACAACTTGCTATGTAGCCTAGACTGACCTCTAATTCAGTCTCTTCTCTTTGAAGTGCTAGGCAGCCTTCATCGTGCCTGGCTTGTTATTTTTAAATCTTGGTATCTTAGTAAGGGTTTCATCTATTGCCACGATGAAACACCATGGCCTAAAAGCAAGTTGGGAGGAATTTTTTTGTTTGTTTGTTTATACTCTTGTTCATCATGGAAAGAAGCCAGGACAGGAACTCAAAACAGGGCAGGAACCTGGAAACAGGAGCTGATGCTGAGGATGTGGAGGGATACTGCTGGTTTGGTCAACACAGCTTCCTCAGCTTTCTATCATGTACCCAGGACCTCCAGCCCAGCGATGGCACCACCCACAATGGGCTGGCCTCGCTCCCATCAATCACTAATTAAGAAAGTGTCCTGCCCATGTTGAGCTTAGGTGTTATCAGTAGACTTACTGAGTAGTTGCTCAAGATGGACTATATTCATTTCATAATTTTGTTGCAGCATGAAGTACTTTAATCAGCAGAGCTTCGGGTTTTTATGAAATTTGCCATTTTGAAGCAGACTTACATTCAGACTGAGTTAACTAAAATTATGACCTATTTTAAATACTTCAAGTTTCTAAAAATTAGTTCCCGTGATAATTAAAAGAAAGAAGATTATTTTCCAAATTAAAAGACCAATGGGGGGAAAAAAAAGAAAAAAATGGAAAAAAAAGAAAAAAGAAAAAAAAAGACCAATGAAGACCAATTTCCAAATGGACTTTTATGATAGATTGATAGATTCCTACTGTACTGTTTTCATTTCAGACCTCATTTAGATATAGGCATTGGCCTGTTAATCAATGTTCCAGAAAAGACTCGCATGGTGAACCTTCACTCTACTTAGCATTTTGTTGTATTTAATGTTCATATAGTGAAATTAGTTTAGAATTGTATCATGTTGATTCTTATTTTTGTTTATCAGTTAACTAGACTGGTAATATATTTAATTGGAAATGAGCTGCTGAGCTTATTTGAAAATACTGTAGTTGAGCAGAGATTATAGCTAGTGCCTTTCTGTTCTCTTTTCTAACTACACACTGGAAGAGTTACTGGAAGGGTGTGCACTCACTCAGTGAAGTTCCCTGCACACAGCAGCATTTTCCTCTTGAGTCATCGACTTTTATACGTTTATTTAATGACCAGTTTAGGTTTGCTCATCTCGATTGTCTCACATATGGATAATTTATTTGTAAGAAGATGTCCTTGTGAGTAGGATTTTTAAAATTTAAATTAGAAACATGCTTGATTAACATGTCAATCCCAGCTCTCTCACCAACCCATCCAACTCCCCACCCAATCCCCACTTTGCTCCCAAGAGAGGGTGAGGCCCTTCATGGGGGATCTCCAAAGTCTGTCATATTATCCAGGTCAGAGCCTAGGCCCTCCCCCATGTGTCCAGGCTGAGAGAGCATTCCTCCTCCATTTGTATGCCAGGAATAAATACTGATCTACCACCCAACGCCCCATAGATTGGAGGCCTCCTCACTGACACCCAAATTTAGGGGATCTAGATCAGTCCCATGCTGGCCTCTCAGCTATCAGTCTGGGGCCCATGCACAAAGCTTAAGTTCAAATGGATCAAAGACCTCAACATAAATCCAGCCACACTGAACCTGTTAGAAGAGAAAGTGGGAGGTACCCTCGAATGAATTGGTACAGGAGACTGTTTCCTGAACATAACACCAGTAGCACAGACACTGAGATCAACAATTAATAAATGGAACCTCCTAAAACTGAGAAACTTCTGTAAGGCAAGGGACATAGTCAACAAGACAAAAAGGCAGCCCATAGAATGTGAGTGGGAATTTTATGTTACGCTTATTTTACTAGGGCAGTTTGGGATTAAGCCTTTCAGAACTGTTGGATTTGACCTCAGAGAACAAGCTGTGATATTGAAGATCCCCACAGGGAGTAGAGATGTTAAAATGTTGTGCATTTCTTTCCGTTCGAAAATGCTGAGGTACATAGTTGTTTTTATTTCATTTTCTTGTTTTTTTGTTTGTTTATTTCGAGACAGGGTTCCTCTGTGTAACAGCCCTAGCTCTCCTGGAACTCGCTCTGTAGACCAGACTGGCCTCAAACTCACAGAGTTCTACCAGTGTTTGCCTCCCGAGTGCTAGGGTTAAGGCGTGCACCACCACTGCCTGGCTTATTTCATTTTCTTGAAAGGACATTAGGAAGTATAGGACGTGGCTGTAAGCATCTTAGTTTCCATTGTGGAGAGACTGTCATTTGGGTGTGGTGGACTCCCACCTTTCAGCCAGCTGTACATTTGCCTGGTGCACCGGGTTTCACACTCGCATCAGCAGTGCCGGCATCGTTTCACATACCCCACTTTTGCCTGTCTTCCTTCTCCCTGCAGGGTTGCCGTGGTCATTCCCTGGATGGCTGGGCAAAGGTTTCAGCTGGCCTTACGTAAATCTTCAGCTGACTTCCTACTATATTGTAAGATGGATTTTGGGCGCCAAGCATTATCATGACCTGGACATTGATTATATTGGGGTTAGTAACATATTGGAACTATGATTTATTTTTGACTGTATTTTAAGAATCTTAGAAAGTAATTTTATTCCTATTTTTTCCATTAAAAGGATTTACAACCATACTTTATGTATAGAAGGATTTACAACCATACTTTATGTATAGAAATATAATTTACATATTGCATTGCACTATTGATATAGTTTTTATTTTTTAATTATTATTTATGTGTATGGGTGTTTTGCTTGTATGTATGTGTACCATGTGCATGCAGTGTCTTCATTGGCCAGAAGAGGGCCTCATGACACCTGGGAATTAACAGGTAGTTGGGAGCCTTATTGAGTGTGCTGGAAATTGAACCAAGGTCCCCTGGAAGAGCAGCCAGTGCTCTTAACGATGGAAGCATCTCTCCAGCCTCTTGATAGAATTTGAAGAAGAAGAAAGGGAAATATTTCAGGTTATAACTCTCAGATTTTAAGAAGCACTTTTCTAAATGGCTCAATGGGAAAAAATGTGTAAAGGAATAGTTTTGTTTAACTAGTCAGTGGGGTTAAAAGGAAGCCCTATTTTTCCATCATTGCGTCAAAAAGAATAAGACATGTTGGATTTTTCAGCGAATGTATAAGTGGCTCTTGTTATTTCAATAAACAGAAGGTTGAACTCACGTAACTACTGTGAGAAAAACCAAACCAAACCAAACTCTGATGGAGTTGACAAAAGAAAAAATTGGTTTTGTGTATATATATATGTATTCCTACATACAACCTGTTCAGACCACAAATAGTTGTCTGTGCATGTGTCCTTGTACATATGTTTTTCAGGACTGACCGTTTGGCATTGGTCAACCAGTTGATGTGCAGTTCTCTGGGGACCTTCACCCTCTCCCAGCCCCCTTCAGTTGCCTGGAATCCTTTGTGTGGTGTTGAGGCCCCATGGTCTTTTCCCATCCACTTTGGCATGTCTATGGGTGTCATCCTCGTTCAGTTCACATTTGGGCAGCCATGTTGGTGAGACTTTATGGAAGTTGTTTCTGCATTACTAGGAGTCATAGTCCCACAGCAAACTCCTTTATCTCTGGTTTTTGCAGTCCTACTGCCTCCTCAGCTGGAATGTTTTCTGAGCCTTAGGTGGGTGAGGGAGTGTTTTGTAGATGTATCCATTAAGGCTGGACTCCACAACTGTGCAATTTGATTGGCTGTGACGGGTAATATTTTCATCCCATTCCAATTCAAATTCTCCTTCAAAGCTTTTATCTTGTTCTTAAAGAAAAGATGGTTCATTTACACTTTTATTCTCATTCTGGTGAGTGTACCCTAAACCAGGGAATACCTGATTTTTTTTTATAAAGAGCTAATGTATAAATATTAAGTTGGCATTAGTAGGTCATAGGCAATATTAAGACACATAGCCATTTCCAGTATAACCATTTCAAACACAAAGCTGATTGTCACTCTCAGACCTTGAAAATATAGGTGCTGGGCAAGAGTTTGCAGACTGCTGCATATCTGCTTCCTTCTGTCTGAACTGTTTGTAATGTCTTTTAATGTGTTAAAAAGTGTAAAACATGCCAAGTTTGTGTGTTGAAGGCTGGCAAACCTAAAACTGTACCCTCACATAACCATAGTGGGTCTTTATAAACACTGCAGTACTGACTAAAACTCATATTAAAGTTTTCATGCATTCACAACTGAAATTATTAGCCAGCACTTCCAGGTCCTACTGTGACTGTCATGTTCCTACAACATCAAGATTAAGGAGCTCTTGTCAATGAGAGACAGATACTTCTGCAGATCCATGGTGGTCCTCCGGTAGGATGATTTAGGCATGAGGAGGAGTCCTGGCCGCAAGAGTATACTTGCTTTTACTCTACTTTTCCAAATTATAACTGAAAATTTGTACCTGGGGATTTTTTTTTTTTTTTTGGTTTTTCGAGACAGGGTTTCTCTGTGGCTTTGGAGGCTGTCCTGGAACTCGTTCTGTAGACCAGGCTGGCCTCGAACGGGATTTTTTTTTTAATGTTGGTATATTTAACCCATTAGGGTGATTAGATGCAGGTGGGTCTCTTGAGCTTTCTGATATGGTACATGTTCACAAACTGTTTCCAGTGAGTGATGCTGATGTCTCATTTTAGTCCCTAATGATCACGTGCTGTGGTGAGGCTCTTCTTTAATAAAAAGTTCTCTATCACACCTAGTCTCCAGGCTCATATCTGTAATGATTTTCTTAACTACAAGACTAAAATCTCAGAAGGTCTGCTTCATGATTCTGAACTTGAGAGAGTGGAGTGTTTCCTTTTCTTTCCTGGCTAAAGAGCCTACTCTTGTGTTCTCACTGATCATTACATTTCTCTGTGTGAACAAATTTCTGCTATATACAGTGCCCTTGTGAATAATATGCTTCTTACTCTGTTGATATATCAGAATTATAATTATTCCAGTGATTCTCATACTTATTAGTTCTCCAATGCCCACTGTAGTCTTTGTACACATTTTTTTTTTGCGTGAATGCATACTTTGTTGTTGGAAATCTCTGGAATAAGTGATGTATTTTGAAAAATGATATTCTGTATATGAGTGTTTTCCTGTGTGTGTGTATGTGTATCACATGTATACCTGCTGTCCATGCTCCATGTAGGCCAGAAGAAGGTCCTGGATCTCTGAGAACTGTGGTTGGAGACTGTTGACAGCCACCACAGGGGCTGGGAAAGACCCTGGTTCTCCAAAAGAGCACCAAGTGCACTTAACATTGCACTGGCTCTCCAGTCCCATAAGTTACTTTGAAAAATATTCTCTAGTCCAAGTTTTATTTTAAACTTTTAATTTTCAAAAGTTATTTTGCTTTGTAAGTATATTTATAAATTTTATGACAACCCTTTTCAAAAGTTAGGAAAATAGCTTTCAGGTACAATGAAAGTGGGTATGAAAAGTGGCATTTTATGATCATGTTCATTTTTAGATATTTAAAAACTTTCAGTTTTGGATTTTTGTTTTGCAGATTTGGAATGAAAGGCCATTTGATGCCAACTATATAAAGGTCTGTAAAACTTGAATCTCTTTTTTCTTATACTTCTATACACAGAAATTTGGAGGACAGTTAGATTAGAAACGTTATTTTTTAGCAGCATAATTAATTTGCTAGATGTGATATAAAATGAAATTCCTAATGTTTGTATTCCTGATATTAAAGAATATGTATGCAGCTCTTCATAGGCCCTGAGTGGCGTATATCTGAAGAGTTGTGTTGAATGTTCTTTTATGGGGTAGGGTTGTGGCTTACAGTGGGCTTTATGCTTATGTGAAGCCCTTCAGCACCAAAAGAAAATCAAATAAAATGAAGCAAAACATTAGCTAGGTGTAGATGTGCACACTTTTAATCCCAGTGCTTCAGAGGCAAAAGTAAGACGTTTTATAGCACGAGAACAAAGAAAATCATAAAACAAGACACTTGTCATAGTGTTGGTGGACACATTAAACAGGCAGTTACAGAGATGCAGAATGCTTAGCTGTAGGCCTCATGTGGTCCAAGCCCTGTGGCTGGTAGAAACCAGGGTTCTGTTAAACAATACATCTCAAAAAATGCTCCATTAGGCATGGGATCTTAGGTTCAGTACAGAGGTGGACAAGGGTTAGTGATTTGGGGGGTGGGGAGACTAAAGATAGACCAGGAATTATAATTAGACCCTGGACCTGGCATATCCTAAGCCTCTCCCCATCACTGAAGTTCAGATCAGGCTACTGCTCTTTCTAGGAGATCTTGTTCATAGAGGTGTGGGAGCAGCTCAGGTATGGGAGATGGCACAGTGGGTTTAAAGGGAAACTGAAGCATGAGGTTGTTAATGGGAGGTCGTGAGTCAGAAAGACACAGAAATGGATGCTGAAGTTAGTGCATGCCTAGCATGGTAATGACAGGGTTTATGTCATTTTAGGAACATTAGAATTATTGACATTTGGTTTCCATTTCTTCGAAGTTAGTAATTTAATTGTTGCTAAGATTCACTATCAGTGTTTAGTAGCCAGAGTTCACTTATTTTTCTTCTGACCTTGGGTTTTCCTACACTACAAGTCTTGGGATATAGAAGCATTTACTTTATATATTTCAGCTTTACAGCAGGAGGATTTATTGCACTCTGTGATCTGTTGTCCTGTTGTAGAGTAAGTCATGACAAATGACTATAGGGAGGTGCCCAGTTCACATGATCTTAACGGATACGTCGTCCTTATTGTTTGGTGAGGTGCCTTCTGGGGAGAAGGGGGTTTGTTTTGAAGAGTAAAATATATACAATACAAGTTATTTATGTGGTCTTCAAGGTGTATCACTTATTTTAAGGTTATTTTGCTATGTGGTTATATTCATGGTTGACTCTGGTTTCATGGTAGTTTGTAGATCAGTACCTTCTAGTATCTGAGAGTCCTAGACATGTGGGTGGGTAAGTTTCTGGGCCCTTCAGACCATCTTTGCTTCTTTACCAGAGAATAGATAAATAGATGTAGGTTTTGGAAGGGAAGGACTTCCTAATAAATATTGCATTTGAGATATGATCAAACTCTGTACAGAGCACTGTAATCATACTGACCACGAGACAGAAGCTGATTTGTAAGTCACAGCTTACATACTGTGTGCTTAAAAATGTTTTCATTTATATTGCATATTAAATATGCACATGATTCCTAATGATTGTTTGGGAGTAAGTTGATAAAGACTAGAGATTTTGACAGTGATAAATGAATGCAAAATTGGCTAATTTTTTTTCTTTTCTGTAAGGCTAAGAAAAAATATTGAGCAATGAAGCAAATTGATTTCCTAATGCAGGTTAAGAGATTCTCCACCCTACTGTCCTTTTGGGTTCAGTGAGAGTCCTTGAAAGATGGATTCAACTTGTCATTCTAGTTCTCATTGCATTTCTAACCTAGTACAGTATATAATAACATAAGTTTTAAAACACCATCTGCTGTAAAATACACCATGGATTTAATTAGAAGAGAATTTATTATTTATTTCTTTAAAAGAGTACAGTTTCATAAGTCAGAAAAATTAGGTTAAAAATAAGAGCTGGTGAAATTTTTCATTTTTCCTTATGTTAATTGGTAGCTATCATTGAACACCTGCTGGGCATGTCAGACTTTCCAGGGTTGATTGTATCAGTTTGTTAAGAGACACCTTTGGTCTAGAATCTGATCCTTCTGTTTCTGGGTAAATTGGTGTCCTTTCCTCTGCCCGTGTATTCCACATAGACAGTGTATACATTTGGTGTTCGGGTTAGTGTTTGTTTTCCTGATAGAATATTATGTCTTCCTTTAGGTTTGTAGGTAAATGGTCCTGCAAGTAGATCTTATTTCCTATCCTATCTATAAGCATGAGAGACAGGAAAGCAAAATGGGGCAGTTCCTACTTATAGTAGATATAGTATATGAAGACATAAGAACTGTGATATTTTTCAATAGTAATGGAATTTTAAAAATACTGAGAAATACTTAAAATAAGACATCCGAGTATTTTACTACACAGCACAGATAATACCTCAATTTTAGCATTATGTCTATATAGAAAATTTGAGGAAGAAAGCATACAAAAGGACAAATAGCATTATTTATATGTAATACTGTTTGATGAGTTTTATGTACACCTATCCCCTCCAACTCCATAATTCCTATTGTTTAACTGAATTTTAAACTCAGGAGGAAAATGCATCTAGGGTATTATCCCAGAAACTCACTTCTGCTGAGAAGCAGTGCTAAAACCGCCATCAGAATGCAGAATTTTCAAAAGACACTCTAGCTATTTTGGTCATATTCCAGCAACTAAAAGCTCATTAACCCTTGCTGTGTTCTATTTATGTCTCCAAAGGAATTAAGAAAAATGTTGGATTATCAAGGTCTCCATCGAGTGAAAATCATAGCAAGTGATAATCTCTGGGAGCCTATTTCTTCTTCCATGCTGTTTGACCATGATCTCTGGAAGGCGGTTGATGTCATAGGGTAAGGTGCAATTTACTTTGCACCAACAGTTTGTGGTTTCTTTACCTGGGTGTTGAGTATGCCTTTCTTCTTGCCTTCTCTGCCCCTGTGATTATGTTTTCTGGTAGTATTTACTCAATAAGATATTGATCACTCACAATTCATTCCTTTCTTTTTGTAATGTGTATTTGGGGTTCTTTCTATGACAATGAAATTTATAGGTGGCTTTTTAAATAAATGGGTTAATGGTTAGATTAATAAAACAGGGCTTTCTTAGATTAAAAAGTAGGTATTTAGTAGAAGTTAACAAGGTGATGTTAACTTGGTTTCTACAATCACGTTTCCTGTGACTCAGTGTTCATACACAAACAATTTTTTAAGTCGTTTGGTATGTTCACTGTCTTTTTTTTTCTAGTCTCCTTAGTATTTTAGTATTTTAACTCTCTTAGACATTTGACTCTATTTGCTAATTTATTTCTGCCTTACAGCTCTCTGGGTCCTAACTGAATTGGGCTCAGCAGTTTGATTTTTAAAAAGTAAATGTATGTTCTATTTATCATGATGGTATATAGCATTTAAAACTAGAGGCTGCATATGTGTGAAATTTGATTTTTAACCTATTGTGACACAGCTTGATCTCTGCATATACTTTGTTCCTAAAAGAAAACTTTTGGATTTTACTATTTTTTATCTTTTATTTTCAGTGCTGGGGACCAAACCCAGGGCCTCATACATGCTAAGGCAAGTGCTCTACCATTGAGCTCTACCCGCATGCAAGCATTTTCATTGTTTACCAAAGTAGGCAGAATAATAAATATGTATGTTCTGATCACTCAACCTCAGAAAGAAAGAAGTCATGGCCATTTTCCATTCCTGTGTCTACCTATTCATTTTTCCATCTTCTGTATGTTTTGGAACAAACTTCAGACATTGTGTTGTATTTCTTCCCTACAGATTTTATCATGTCTCTCTAAATATATAGATTCTTTCCCTTTTGCCATTAATAATACCATTATTATGCCTAAGCATGTAATTGTTTCTTGGTATTATCAAATATAGGTTTTTCTAATTTTATAGTTTTATTTGACTGGATCTGGAATTATTTAAGATTCATCTATAAGTTAGTAATTAAGTCTCTTCCTATTGATTTGTAGTTCAGACCACTTAACTTGCTTGTTTTTTTTCTTAGAACTTACTTAAGAGACTAGGTTGTTTGTTCTGTAAAGTTTTCTTAGTCTATGTTTTAGCACTTTCATCCTCCTGTGTTTTAAATTAACACACATGTCTATGCTGGTTTTTTTGGGAAAGTGAGAGTAAATTATCTGGGCTTTTCTTTTTTTGCAAGAGAAAGTGTAATCGTACATTTATATTTAAACATTTACATACTAAAAATGGAAAATTTTCATTAGAACTTACATGAACAACTCAGATCTGAGGGAAGCAAGACTGTGTTCTTCTTGAACATGTTTGGCTAGGAAGGCTGTTAGAATTGAAGGAATGTTTCAGTTTCATGTTGTGAAGATGTTTGGCATTTCATTACTTTTCCTCTGAGCCATAGCTTTATTTCATAGTTTCTTTTGTTCTCATTGATTGTGTTCGTATAATGGTAACTGTATTGTTTAAAATTAGTTTTGTTTGCATGAAAGTTGGTGCCATGTTACTTGGCACATAGATAATGAATGTTTATCTTTGTGCTTTGTAACTATTGTCAATAGAAAATGTCATTCTATGACTCAGCAGTATTTCTTGAACTGAATTTTTCTTTGTATGAGAGAAGGAGAAGCCCTGCTTTCAGTTTTGACTACTTTTATTTTTTTTTACTTTCAAGGTCATTTTATTTTAGATACATTACCTGCATTGGGTTAAATTTTGCTTTCTAATATTGCACTGGAAATTTTTTCTTATTTCTTTTCTTTTTAAGTGTGTGTGTGTGTGTGTGTGTGTGTGTGTGTGTATCCCACCAGAAAGCAGGTACAGAAGACGGTGTTGAGGCCTCTGGAGTTGGAGTTATAGGAGTTTGTGAGTTGTCTGCTGTGGGTGTTTAGGAACTAGATTTGTAGTTTCCTGAAGAGAACAACAAGTTCTGTTAACCACTGAACCACCTCTTCAGCCCACATTTACAGTTTTTGATGTAACTGATGTTAGTCTTTTCTTTGCCATGTTACAAATGTTTTAATAATTAAATGATCTGTGCTGTGATTCTTATAATGCAAACTGCAGTGTTTGTTTTCTTGGTTTTGCTAAGGAGGTATCTTCTTACACAGCAAGACTTGTTTTTGTTTTTGTGTCACAGGTATCAACCAATACTGGTTGGTTCAGGTGGAATCATTTTATCTCCTAGGAAACATTTGTCTATATCTGGGACTATTTGTAGCTATGCTAGTGAGATACAGACCTACTGTTAGTATCTTATGGGTGGATTGGGTGGATGCCAGAAGTGCATTCAAAAAAATTCTTGGGTATACAGGTCAGCACTACCAGCTCTAGAATTAACCAGCCCACAGTGTCGGTTGTGCTGAAATTGAGGAATGTTCCTTGTTTTTTTGTTTTGTTTTTTTGTTTGTTGATGAGGACAAAACAGCCTCTGGGATTGTTTTTTCCCATGGTAGGTGAGCTAATGGATTACATTGGAATGAGCATACATATGGACCTATCACCCAGAAACTTGTAAAGTACTCAGCCAGGTTGGAAGCCTTTCTTGTAACTGTTAACCTGATCTCTAACACCAAAGGACAATTGTGCCCATTTAAAAGTTTCACTAAGATGGCATTTCATACAGGAGAGTGGCAGTCCCCTGTGTTGAACACTTAGAAATTTATTAAGGAGGGAAATAACTAAAGCAGTTCTCATCTTTTTAAGATAGAAGCTTTACTGGCTAAACAACAACAACAAAAACAAAGCAAATCAAAACAAAAAAATCATGGAAAAGAATGTTCTGTCTTTAATATTTGTAAGTCAGTCAGACATACATGCCATCAGTAAAGAAGGGAAATTTCTTTATCTTTAATGTCTTCTCTGAACTTCGTATGAACTTTGCACTGCTAACCTTTTGGATTGTTTCTATACTTTTATTTGTTTTAACATATGAGATGATGCACGTCCCTCTAATCCCAATATTCAGAAGGCAGAAGCAGGCAGAGCTCAAGATTACAACAAGTTATTTGTATAATTGCATTGTTGACCACATAGGATGTTGATAATCGGTTGTTCATTACAAATTCCAGATAAGGAAATACTTTTATTGAAGTTCTCTTTCTTTTGTTTTCTCTGGCCTGGGATGATCTCAGATAATCCTTGTGACTTCTGCCTTAGAGATGTGATTGCAGGCTTGAGTCATTGCACCTGCCTGCTTATGAGCGTCATTCTATACTGAAGACACACTGTCACCATCATCGTGATGACTGTACTATAGAAAGTCCTCCCTAGGTCAGAATGACCCAGAATGTTTACCTGGCTGAGCAATTTTGTGACTTTCAGTTTTGTGTATGTGTATGTGTATGTGAACATTTAAATCCTTTCTCCGTGGTTATTTGTATTATTTCTGGGTTTTGATCTTCTTCACACAAGAATTGGTGATATACTATTATCTGTGGGGCTTTCGTGGGTTGGATTGGTATCAGGGCTTTCATAGGTTGGATTGGTTTCAGTGCTTTGCCTTGGAGTAAATGCCAAGATTTCTGTCTCTAAGGACAGGAATGTGGGAGAAGTTGTTTCACCTTGCTTGGCTTCCTTCTGGCTGTTTTCCTCCTGTCCAAAGCTCCCCAGCTTCTCCCGGGAAGACCGAATCTTCCTTTACCTTGTTCTCATTTGCAGCAGTCCAGGTAGTGGCCTCTTTAGCCTTTATAGGTCAGCTTACTTCTATGCATTTATGGTTTCCAGAATATTGTCGTTTCATTGTGTGTGTGGTTGAGGTTTCTGCCTTTCCGTTTACTTGCTGTCATTTGCAGAGTGCCTGCAATGGAAGAGTGGGAAGCAGATGCCTCCTTTCCATTTCTCATCTGTCTTCTGGAAGCTGCTTGAGTGATTTAAAATAGCAAACCTTGGCGAAGACCTGTATTTCAGTTCACTCATCTCATGTACAGAAGTGGTCCCTTCTGATTCCTCGCCACCGGTGCCCTTGTCTTCTAGAGCTCATTATCCTGGAACCCATACAGTGTGGAATGCAAGGATGACAGGGAAGAAGCTGTGGTCGTCAGAAGATTTTAGCACTCTCAACAATGATGTCGGCGCAGGCTGCTGGGGGCGCATATTGAATCAGAATTATATCAATGGCAATATGACCTCGTAAGTTATTTACAATCCTTTGGTGGAGGCTAAAAAGTCTAATGGACCACTGTAATTTTATATCCTAGATTCAATGGTTGTGAACATATATGCTTTATTGACTTAACCTACATATGCCTAATATTTGTTTAATCTGTACCATCTTTTATATATTTGAGAAGAGTCTAAATTAAGTAAAGTTGGGTTTATTGGGTTCAGTTTGCTCAGAAGTGCAATGATTTTTGATAATTTACATATATTTTAAAGTACTTTTTCTCCTGATCTCATACCATCATATTTTTGTATTATCTCAAAAACATAAGGTTATTTCTCACATAATTATATCATTTTTATAAATATGGGCATATAAAACATTTCTAATTCCTAGTATTTATTCATATTTTTAAAATACAATTTGTAACTTTTATTTATTTATTTAAGAGAAAGCGTAGGTCCTTGCATTTCATTTAGCAATTTTGGCCCCTCTCTCTTTTAATGTAGAATTATTACCCTTCCCCATTTTCAAAACTACTTAAAAATCAAAACAAAACATAAAAACAGGGCAGTAGCCTTTAGTTGGTACCCACTTCCACTGTGAGTGGCTGCCTCCTTGTGGGATCTCATAACTTTATCGAACTCTTCACAAAGCCCAGTTTGTAAAGAACAACACAACCCCTTTGTTCTCAAAGGGAACACTTCCTAAATGATTTGATGATAGCTTGTGTGTAATTAGATGCAAACTAGCCTTATAAAATAACTGTAAGTCTGCTAAAAGCAAGCTGCTACACATGCTTTTGTGGTGGCTCATGTGGCATTAAGATATAGCGCATATTCCTTGCAGACAGTGGAGAAAATGAAGATGAATGCCTAGGGGGACAGAGCTGCCTACAAGGTTGTCGTCTTGAAATAATGGTCCTTAAAGCGTTCTCCTGTTTTTATAAACTTTTTCATAATAAATTGACACCTGGGAAGATGCTGTTCAATGAGCTGCTTCTCACTTAACTGGATATTATGACTTTTTTTCTCATGTTAAGTATATTTTTACTTCATCTCTTTCCTTCCCATGTTTTTTGTTTGTTTTGTTTTGATGACGGGGTCTTCCTATGTTACTCAGGCTGGCCTTGAACTCTCTGGCTCAGCCTCCTGAATGCTGAAATTATAGGTGAACACCACCACACCCACACACTTAACAATACCTGCCACGTAATAGAAGTATTTCCTAACTATACCCTGTCTTAAGATGCCCTGCAGTGCTTGTTATACTGGTTTCTAAACAGCCACTCAGACTTCCAGGGTCCTGAAACTTGGACATCTATTCAGTACTCAGGGCAATTCTGTTGATGTCCAACTTTGGGAAACTACAGTGTATAAAATAGAGGATGCCAGCTATGTGTGACACAGATAATGAGAACTCTCATGATGTCCATTGCTAGTATATGTTTTAAATTAGCATTATTATTTCTATTTTATGTTGAAGTAAAGAAAAGGCTTTGATTTTCTAAGAGTGCTAGCGTAGCTTTGTGTCTCAGGAGATCACGTGGTCAGGGAAGCGAAATTCTCTGGGCAGGTGCTGTTTGTATTTCAACTGTAAGGAACCCAGCCAGGTATAAAAACTTGTGTTTTGTGCGTGAAGTTTTCTGAGAGCTGTAGGGTTGCTGCTCTGCTCCTGGAGCTCCGTATGTGCTGTAAATCATCAGCATCTGTCATCTGAAAGAAAGGTCCCCAAACAGGTCAGCAAGATGATTCAGTTAGTACCTCTTTGGAAACAGAAAAATAGAGGCCAGAGTTGTGTCAATAAGTTTAATCCTCCTAGCCTCCTGCAAATTCAGTTGCTGTTGTTATCCTCAGTTCACCTGTGAGGAAACAGTGGTCAACAGAGGTTAGGCTGTGGAGTCCTGATTTGAACCCAGACAGTCTGAGTTCTTGCTCATTGAAATTATACTGTAAAATCAGGTTATTATTAAGAAGGCTGTTAATGGGACAGTAGTTACAGATAAGCTATTGCTGGTACTTGTCTCCCATTTTCAACATGTCAAGCATGATTCATCTTTTGACTTTACCACTGTTAAGCAGAATTCTTGTGTGTGTGTGTGTGTGTGTGTTGCACAAGATATATATATATATATGTGTGTGTGTATTGTACAAGAATATAAATATGGGTGTGCATGTGTGTGTAGTAAAAGAATGTATATGTGTGTGTGTGTGTTACTTTTAATTCTCTGATTCACCATTAAAATGCTTAGATGAACATTCAACTGGATTTTTAAAGATGAGAGTAAACTGAGGCAACATAAACTTTGTTTAGGGTACTTTAAAGTTTATGTTCATGTACATATAATTATGAAAGAGATTTTTACTCCAGTCTTTTAGATATTTATGTTTTTATTACATAGTATTTTGGTGTTTCTTCTTCAACCTAATGTTTTAGCACAATTGCTTGGAATTTGGTGGCTAGTTACTATGAAGAATTGCCTTATGGGCGAAGTGGATTGATGACAGCCCAGGAGCCATGGAGTGGGCATTATGTAGTAGAAGCTCCTATCTGGATATCAGGTATGGATGTCTAGATTCTCTGTTTCTCCCCAGATTCTTTGTAAGAGGCAAACCAGAAAGCAGCAAAAGAGGTTATGCAAGCCATCTATGCTTTAAGTGTGTGACTGTTTCAAGGGAGATGTGCCAGTGTTTATAATATTATTTTGGGTAAGCTGACTGCTTTCTGGATTTCATACTTGATTATTCTAAGACTAGGCCCTTAAAAGAGGGGAGGAAAGAGGGAACGGTGAGCCACATAGTAATGGAGATAGAGATGGAGATAATCTAAGTATATGATTCCAAATCATGGTAAGAGCTGATGGAGAAATATACTTAAAAATGTTCAGCTAAGCTCAGCATGTCTAGAAGTTTTGGGATTATTCTTTTATATCAGTTCCATTTTATTGATTACACTAAAGTAAGTGAGTAATATTAGATTACTATTAAAATTATGATCATTAATCAAAATAAATATGTGGTATGTGAAATAGTAAGGGTTTACATTGGTTCCTAAATCTACTAAGTGTTCGAAGATATGAAATTTAGAAAAAGATAAAAGTATGACTCTCATACAGATTTAAAAATGGTCATACACTGAAGATTTTGTGTTTTTCACATGAAGTGAAGAAACAAGGTAGATGCTAGAGCCAGCTTAGAGTAAAAGTCAGCAAAGAAAAGCAATTTGAGGTTAATTATAATTGGAGACAAGTTGAGTTTCTCACAAACAGAGGCGATCAGTTAAAATGTCCCCTAGCCATGACATAGTTCACATGGCATAAGGACAGGACTGTCAGATCCATGTACTTCCAGGGAAACCCAGATCTTTTTCAGTAATATCAGTCACAATATAAGTTGATATCATGCAGATAATGGATAATATCTGAAAGAATATACCCACATTAACAGCTAAGAACCTTATAAATGACAATAGTAACATTTTTTAATATTTTAGTAAGATATTTAGCATTTATAAATTATTTTGCTTCAAAATTATGCCAGTGTTTTATAAAAAAGTTTCTTCCAAAGCAAGATAATTCTAAGTCAACTTACTTTAATTTTAAACCCATATTTTGATTTTTTTGTGCTATTCTCAGATTGTAATCGTGAAATTATTCTCAATTCCTTAAGTAGCTTTTCAAAATAGTGGAAAAATTAAGTAAGACTTTTATGTGTCAGCTGAATCTCCTCTTAGCTATTGGCATTGTTGGTAGGAACATGGAATATTCATTAGTGTAGTTATGGGACCAGACTTAGAGGTGATGATACTTCCTTTAATTCTTCCTTGTTCTGTTAGTTGGATGAGTAGTGATGAGCATGGTTTGGCAAGAGTCACTTACTTTTTCAATTTGGTAAAAGGAATACACAACCCATAGTATCAGTCACTCAGAAAGCCTTCCTGCCGTTACACCTTTCAGCTGAAATATTTAAAAATGGAAACATAAAGCTGGGAGATACTTTCTTAAAATAGAATATAGTTGCTTCGAATCAGAATTCGGTCAGATTCAAACCGATAGATCATTTTCCTTTAAAATCATCGCATTTGCATCTTTTTCCCTTTGCTGTAGCTCATACAACTCAGTTTACTGAACCTGGCTGGTATTACCTGAAGACAGTCGGCCATCTCGAGAAAGGAGGAAGCTATGTAGCTCTGACTGACGGCTTAGGGAACCTCACCATCATTGTCGAAACCATGGTAACTTTTTGTTGTTGATAGTCAACTAGTGGGCAACTCATACTTCACCAGAAAGTTTGTCTTCAGAGAATAGAAGGGCATAGTCTTCTCCCAGGCATAGGAGGGCACTTCTCTAAGAGTCTTACGACTGGCTCCCTGGGAGAAAGGGTCCAGTGGTTACCTTGCTCCTTCCGTTGTTTCTAAGACTCTTTATCCTTAAAAATATATTGGGATAGCTGGCCTTGAGCCTCATCATGGCTTTTTATGACAGCTGCAGTTAAGACTCTTGTGGAGGGTTTCCTAGGAACGTATGTGTTAGTTCCTTTGGGTGTGTATCTAGGAACAGGGCTGCCAAGTTAAACAGTAACTTAAAAGGGGTGAAGAGTTGCCATTTGCCTGCACCATTTCTCCTTGTTACTAGCAGGTCACAAGGCTCCTAGATAACCATGTCTTCTCTGCAGTTACTGTCCATATCTGCTTATAGCCATTCTCAAGGGTGTGAGCTGGTGTCATTGTAGTTTAATTTACCTTTTCCTAGTGGCTAGTGATGCTGGCTATATTTACATATACTTTTTGGCTATCTGTATGTCCTCACTGGGGAAATGTCTGTTTAAACTACACTGTCCGTTTAAGTTAAGAGTATTTTTCTTTTTCTTTTTGAATTGTAAGAGTTCTTCATATAATCTATCTAAAGCCACCCAGAAGACACATGTGGATTTGTATATTTGTTCCCATTTTTATAGCATACTCAGGGTAGGCCAGGCTGATCTCAGACATAGTCTGCTGTGTCAACATCCCAAATGCTGGCGTTGCTATGCCCAACTTGTCTCTCTTTCTAATGGTACTCTTTGGAGTAAAAAAAGTTCTAAATATGTGTGACGTTCAGATTTGTTTTATTTTTTTTGCTTTGTGTATATTTAGTATCATATATAGGAAACTATTGATATATATACATATATATCATATATAGGAAGGATTTGAAGTTTACATGTATTTTTGGTAAGATGACTGTTGTTTTAAGTATTACACTTAGGGGTTTCTGGTCCTGTTATTTCTTGTGGTGCTTAGCATTTGTTGAGCTACCCCTTGTGTGTGTGTGTGTACCTAGCTGGTCTTCCACTAGTCTCGAAAAGTCTGTTTGTCTACTTGGATTATCTTAACATGTGAGCTTAAAAGCAATCTGTAACAAAATTGAGAGTTTTTTCTATATTTGTGCTTCAGTGGTTATCATTGCACCTTAGTTACCGTACTTCTGAGTAAGGGTTTGGTGGGAGAGTTTTCTAGCTTTGATCATTTTCAAGATTGAATATTGTGGGTCCTTTGGATTTCAATATGAGTTTTAGGACTAGCTAATTAATTATTACAAGCATATAACCCAATGTTGCTATTTTCCTTACTCAGTATATGAATGTGTGCCAGTCAACAAATGTGGGGTGTCTCTCTCTGTGCATTTTGTCTTACTTAGTTTCTCTGATACGTTGCCTTTTCTCATTGTGAGAGTCATATTTCTTTTTACTAACTTATAGTTTCTACTTATTTAATAAACTTATTTATGAAACTATCATTACATTTTACTTATTTATTATTAATACTGCTAATTTACTTGTCCCTGCCCTGATGGGTGGATAGCTTTGTGGGGTTCACTCCTACAGTCCTAGAAGCCTTGTGTCTCCTTTGTTTGCCAATTGCCCTGCCCTGCTGCTGATTTAGAAAAGAAAAAGCACTGGAGTGTGTGCCGAGAGCTGCTGGAGTTGTGTCAGAGTGCAAAAGTTCAGGTTGTAGAACTTGCCTTTTGTATGGAGTGCGTTGAATCCTTGTATCCAGAGTTGTGGGCTTCACAGAGTGCAGGGTCCTGCTGTTTTTGCCTGTTGCTACTCATTCTCATAGTGTTTGCTGTTACACTGACTGACTTGTGTGTGGAAACAGCCTGCGTTCCTGAGACCAGTCATTCTTTGACATCAAACATTATCCTTTGCATTTGATGATGGATTTGACTTCCTAGATTCCTTACAGTATCCCTTCCTTGTGATGTCCTGGTGATTCTGGTAGTAGTTATTAAATCTGCGGAGTGATTTGGGATGTTTCTGGAGAATCTGTCTGAAGGTCTGGTGTTCTTCAGATGCTTGGCAGAATTCATCTATGCTGTCATCTGGCACCAGGGTTTTTCTTCCTGAGGGTTTTTAGTGTAGGGGTCTTTTTACTTACTGTAGATTTCAGAGGTTTTGGAATTTTCCACTTTTCTATCATTTTTGTTGTTTAGCACAGAATCCCTCGTCTAGTTCCCTTCCTAGGAATATTCTCTCTCGTTCCTATCCTTAGTTACCCAAGTACTGGGCTGATGCAAGGATGCTGTTCTGCCCTGCCATTCATTCCCTTTAAGCTTTTCTATTTTCCCATTCTATTCTACACATCTTACCTCCATCAGGAAGATAACAGGATGCTCTGAAATTGCTACTTTAGACGTAATTTTTTAAAGAGCCAAGAGAAGAAAAGAGGACAGTATATATTTATATCATGCTACATTTATTTTATTGATGGTTCTTGTTCTTTGGATCTGTTTCTGTGTGTTTAAGTTACCATTAGGCTCATTCCCTGATTCTAAGCTTTGGCCAGGCACACACAATACACACTCATTAAAGTTTTGTTAGCAATGTATTTTTTATATAATTTGAAATAAATTCAAATTTGTTACAAATGATTGCTTCTTTTGCTGCTGTTCTGGCATTGATTGCATAATGTTTCCCCTACAACAAAGCTTGTATATTATTTGGATAACTTATATGACTTTCTTCACCCCAGAGTCATAAGCGTTCTATGTGTATACGGCCATATCTACCATATTATAATGTCTCACACCAGTTGGCTACCTTCACTCTAAAGGGATCTTTGGTAAGTTCATATGTTTAACTATTTTATTTTAAGATGTATGTTGGGGTTAGAGAGACAGCTCAGTGGTTGAGTGTTTGCTGCTTTTCCTAAAGATTGGAGCTGGGTTTTCTGCACCCTTGTCAGGTAGCTCACAACTACAGATAATTCTAGCTACAGAGGATCTGATACCTTCTTCTGGCCTCCAAACATCACACATGTGAGCATACGGAAACAAAGAAACAAAATAAATCTTTAAAAATCTATGAAAATTTTGTGTTCTATTACAGGTCATTGATTCTTAAGGGAAGTCATGTATTATAGAATTACAAGAATTTGTGTGTAAATGGAACCTGTCCTGGTGCCTTGTGCCTCCTGCACTTTTGTTTCTTAATACGTGGACTAGGCTGGCCTCACTACATAGTGGAGGATGACCACAGACTTCTGAGCATCCCTCCTTTTCCTGCTGAGTGCTCGGCTTGTAGGCAGGTGCCAGCCTGCCTGCTTCAGCTGGCGCTACATCCTCAGCCTCTTCTGACCTCTGACCCCACCAATGAAACAGAAGCCAGTGCCCAATAAAGCTGCCTGTGGCTTTGGTGACTTTAAAAAGTCATTTTCAGGGAGTTTATCATTGGTAATCTATGATTAGTTCTGTGGTCTAAGGAATTTTTCTTTCCTTTTATTTTTTGATACAGGATTTCTCTGTTTTTGTTTGTAGCCCTGGCTATTCTGGAACTCACTCTGTAGACCAGGCTGGCCTCAAACTCAACTTAAGAGTATTCGGTACTGAAAAACAAATGAACAAAATAAAGCCCAATTGAGCAAAAATGCCCAGAAGTCACCAACTTTTTAAAACCTTTTATTAGATTTGATGTGGAAGAAGCCAGGGTAATTTCTTACTAATGATGTCATAGAATTCGTTTTTTATGCCAGAGAACTGTTAGGCCCAAGCAGGGATGGGGGCTGATAAGAGAGGCTAAGGGAAAGACCAACAAGAATTCATTATATACGTGCATAAAATGAAGCGAACAAAACTGATTAATAAAAAAAGAAATAAGACAAAACATCTACTAACTGCAACCAGAACGCAGCGTAGTCTCTCTAATACCTAGCAAAGGGAAGCTTGCTCACAAAGCAGGGAGTGGAACGGCAGTGTTGTCTGTTTGATTGGATGGCAGGCTTCAGAAAGAGGCGCTGATATAGGCTTTTTGCTACCGAACCGTTGTCTCCAAAATCAAGCCAGAAGCTCTGTGTGTCTTTACACGGAGAGCTCATGTCATCCCCTGACTTATCCACGGCACATGGCAAAGACATCCAGAGACACACCAGATGTTAGCACTGCCCAGCTACATGTGGCAGTTATTGCTCAGAAGCCCTGAGATGCCACTTGAGATATTTTTTTACCAGGTTGTTAAAAATCACTTGGATCTGTTGCTTTTCATGTGATTCAACTGTGAGCATGGAGATGCATCTCCTTTCGTATTCTTTTAAAAGATGAGTCTCTCTCTTATATATATGTCTAGAATTATTATCTTTGTCATCGTGGCACTTATGTATTTACTAAGTGAAATTACTGTAATATGTAATAATTATTAAAATATAAAAATTGAAAATACTTTTAGAATATTAATTATTCATACTGGATCTTTAGTTTTGGGCTATTATATATCAGCATAACACATCACTATTCACTTAGAATTTTTGCACTTCTAATAGTATATTCTTTGAAGAAAAATTAGAACATGATGACTACCTTTGAGAAGTTTAATTTTATATGGATGTCAGTAACATGCAAGGAGGCAGAAGAAAGCAAGCTAAGATTCTGTGATAATAAAGACATTTAAAAATAATTAAATGTTTAACAGAGATTCTTACATAGGGAGGCCAAGACACTAAGATCTGTTTGTCAGCGTTCTCAGGTGTTAATGCAATGGCTTAGGAGCAGAGAGGTTTATTGCCTACAGTGCTCTCTCCTGAAAGGAAGCATGGCGGTTTTCTTCCCGGACCCTGGACACATTCACCGAGGAAGGAACAGACCAGTTTCCAAGCATTCTCACTTTAAGGTGGGAGTTTAATAAGGAAAAGTAGGAGACAGATCCTTGGCTACCTATGCAAGGCCATAGAACACATCTTTAAAGAAGATGACAGGATCACATCTGAGCATGCCCAGTTCAGTATTGTAAGGATCCAGGCTTGTTTGGTTCCCTAACAATCAAGGCAGTGTCTCAAGGGCTGTGCTGATTTTCCTCAGGTCTCTCTAAAGTGTGGTAACTAAACAAACACAGAAAAGGACAGCTCTAGAGGTACTTCAGTGCAGGCGTTTGTTGGTGGTGGTGCCTGCTCTGCTTAGTGGCTTGTGTTGGTAGGAAATCAAAGAGTTGCTTGTGGTAGTCTTCCTGTTTTCAGAAGTGTTACTGTTTCAACCTTGAGATAAGTCTTTCGTAACTTGAAACATTGGCCATTGCTGCCCTTTGAAGTATCAATTTCAGGATATGACGAATCTCTCAAGTATGCTTTCTTGTGTTTTCTCTCCAGAGAGAAATCCAAGAGCTACAAGTGTGGTATACCAAGCTTGGAGGACCCTCGGAGAGACTTCATTTTAAACAACTGGATTCTCTATGGGTAGTCTTAAACTTGATTCCTATGTTTGGGACATTAACAACAGCAAAAAGGAACAGATTTGATTAATGAATTAAGATGAAGTTGATTTTATGGCTACAGGATAGTAGAGATAGAAATCTCCCGAAAGTTTTCTTAGATAGACTCCTGACTAAGGTATGATAAGCTTGTGTCCTCAGAGCTGCGCTTTGTCCCTACGCGGGTGCTCATGGTGGTGGATGCGCCACCATTGGCTGGCTGCCCAGGTGAGAGATGTGTGTCTCGTTTGAGATTGTCCTCCTCTGACCACAGCCAGTTCTGCCCTCTTTGTATTTCTCGTATTCGCTGTTGTTCCTTGTTCTACACGCTGCCTGTTTCCGGTCTTCCTTCTGCCACATTAATTATTCAGAGACTGCGCCTGGTTTCAGCAGACTCCAGTCTGAGTCTCAGGGCAGGCCACCGCACTGCTGCTGGAGCGGTGTGCCCAAAGCCCTGTGCTTGGAATGTGTGGGCAGCGTTCCCCACCAGGTCACATTTCCCACGTGACCGGCACTACCCTTTCATGTGACCTCCCGCTGTCCTCATGTGGTGGAAGGGAGCTTTCCTTCCCAGGGCAGGTGGCAGATGGCACTCCTCACAGAGTGAACTTCTAAAATGACCTCCTTCTTGTCTGTGAAGATCCGTCACCTCAAGGGTCGATTTCTTCAAAGCTCACTCACCTGGTCCAGTGCAGGCCTATGTCTGGGTCTCGTTAAATCTGCCCCCACCACTCTGGCTACTTTGAGAGTGGAGCTCTCTCTGCCTTATTTTGCTTTTAGTCCAGAGGCAATTGGTATTTGGTGATTCCTCAGAGAAGGTTTCAAGAATGAACTGGCCCAAGCAAGCGTCTGACTGACTTAATCTGCAGTATTTTTTAATAATAATGTTCTGACAATTAGCTAGTCAATATCAATGATTAAATACCCATTAGAACACTCTCTACTTGTATAATAATTGACTAGAAATAGCATAATGAAATTGATTTCCCCCTTAGGAATATTATGTGGGGTTAATCGTGAGCCAGAATGTGGCACTGGATATTCAGGACTCTGAATCTCTTTTCCCTCACAACCACGATATGCTACCAAACCCTGTAGTTCAGTGTACACAAAAACTTACTAAGGTTTCAAAGACAGGTGCAAGCTCGGGGCCCACATTCGTTATGCAGGGATTCTCATGTCTCCAGAGGGCTGTGCTATCACAGAAACTGTGCTCTAGAGAGTTTGCCCTGGCCACACATTGAGGTGAGCCTAAGCGAGCCCTTTAGGAACGTCTGGTCTGATTCTCACGGCAGCCCTCTGTGAGATGCATTCTTAGCCTCGAGGATGAGATGAAAAACTGAGAAAGCCCGAGTTGTTAGGATCATAAATGTGACGTAAACCTAAGTTACAAATTGAAATTAACACTGAGCACAGGGTGAGCAGATTTTAATTCTCATCCCTCAGTTGTGAAAGGGTTTCTTTCTTGCCCTTAGCAGCTGAGTTGTCTGTGAGGTTTTGTGCACTCTGTTCTATTAGGAAAACTCTGAAGAAATCAGCAGAGCCCTGTATTAACTGAACAAACACATGCTTTAAAGAGCTCGCAGTGCAACGGGAGTGGAGGCTAACAGACTCAGCCCTCGTGGCCTTTCCCCTCCATTTGGTGAAACCCTTTCTATAAAATATCATTTATATACTCTTGTAAAACACCCTTCTAAAGTGTCCGGGGCACTGGTACTGCTGGGCCTTCCCCCGGGGTTTAGGAAGCCCTAGCAGAGAGACTGTCTAAGCTTATTTCCTTCAAGCTGCCCCTCGTTTCGTAGCTGGCACCTGGCGGTGAACGCGGGGCTGTCTTCTTTTTCAGCTCCTTGACAGCAGTGGCAGTTTTGCCATGGAACTGCAGGAGGATGAGCTGGTTACACTCACCACTCTCACCACAGGTCGCAAAGGCGGCTACCCTCCTCCTCCCAAGTCGCAGCCCTTCCCGAGAAGCTATAAGGATGATTTCAATGTTGGTAAGCGGGTTCTGACCAGGCATCACCTGCCATCTAACTTCGGTCAAGTGGGGTACTTTCTTCTTGGCAGATGGTGCGATGCCAAAAGTGCCCTTGTGGCCTGTAGAGGTTTATTTTGTTAGAAGATAGGTAATGTTTCCAGCTCTTTGGGTGAATCTGTATTTTTCAGTTCCAGAAAAAAACTGCAGAAGTCATTGTGAGAATGAAAGTTGTCATTAGTTCTAAGTAGTTTTGGGTGTCACTAGTACTTTTCCTTCATGAGAAAGGTAACACATTATGTCTCTATCTCGGTGCCATGGAGTTGGGTGCTTAAGGGCGGTCATGTAATAGTTAGGGGCTTCAGCTGATTGCTTGCTGGAGTTTGGCCCCGGGTCTTCTGGAGGATCTGCGCTTTTATGATTAGAGACGCTTTGGAGGATGGGCAGTTGGGGAAACCATATGAAAACAGTAGCATGCTTGGCATGCCTGTATCTCTAGAGGACCCAGCAAACAACAGCATTTGCTTACTAAGCAGTAGTGTTTGGGAGGACTGAAGGTTTCAAAGATGAGTCCAGTAGCTCTATAATCTGCCTCCCAAACTGACCACTGTAGAAAGATTCACATTGCCAGAGTGTTGTACTCACATCCTCCTGCAGGTGGCAGCACTGCTTGTTCCACCCAACATGGAGACTCGTGCCTCTGCCACGTGCTTCTGGGTCCTACATTCCCATGGCAGGACATGAACTTTCAGCTACTTGACATAGAAAGGCCTTTGGGCTCTGATACTGTCATCTGGTCAACTATTTGGATACACATCTTCAAATACCACACACACACACACACACACACACACACACACACGAGTCTTTTGATCTAAACTGTGGTTGGTTATAAGTATTATTTATGCTTTAAAAATCATTCAAAAGTGTTTCACATGGACCACAGATATCAGAAAGAGAGAACTGGTAAGGGGTTGGACCTTGGCCTCTGAGATACTAAGTAGAGGATTTGTTGTGTCCTGAACAGATTACCCATTTTTCAGTGAAGCTCCCAATTTTGCTGATCAGACTGGCGTGTTTGAGTACTACACAAATAACGAAGACCCGGGACAGCATCGCTTCACACTGCGCCAAGTTCTCAATCAACGACCTATTACCTGGGCTGCCGATGCTTCCAGCACCATCAGCATTATAGGCGATTACCACTGGTGTGTGAGAGATACCCCTAGTATATATACAACCTTGTGACATGGGTACATTCTGAGTGAGGAGGTTGCTGTAGTCCTTCATAATTGTGTGAACTCTAATCTTTCCATGCCCTTCACTCAGATCATTCCACCCGGTTATATAATATAATATTATCTTATAGCTTGATATTTATTTGCAGACCATGTGATTTGAATGCTTTTTGTTTTACCAGATTGGATTTGTTGAGCTGGTGTTGCCACCTGCTGGACATACGGTAGAATTACACCACCCTGGCTAAGTGTAGGAACTTACTTAAAAAGCAAAACAGCTTTAATTTTCAAGGCTAAGCAATTCAACCCTTCCTTTAGATTTTCAACCCTTCCGTTATTTTTCTGTCCAGTTAAAACGCAATCTACAAATAAAACTTTTACCTTCACCTCTAATTTAGTTGTGGGATTTTAAAGTGCTGACTTACTGTTTTGCCCACTTTAGGTAGTATTCTCTATTCTCATGGCTAACGTCATGGACATACACACTTACACATTCCCTTTCTCTCCTCCCCCTCCTCCCCTGTGCGTGGTAAAGTTCAGCTGTGCACAATTCACTTAGGAAGAGCCTTTGAGAAATGTGAAGTTCTAGATCCAGTACCACCTACCTCATTTTCAAAACGGATGCCCTGGTATCCTTCATCATACTTTAGATAAATTGCATGGTTTATGACTTGAAAATATGTACATTTTTTCCTATTTGCTGATTGGTGATGAGCATGAAGTGGGTTATTTTCAGGGGTGGTGTTTTAGAGTGCTAATATTGTCTTAGGGAGAGTGCTGTACCTGGGAACTTGTCTCAAAGGAAACCAACCCACAAGAGAGCATATTGTAGAAGCTCTGACAGTCCCTTCTTGGCAGAATCTTTCCCTACCCTTGATATGCTGCCATGGACCGGAGCCTATAACCAGTGCTCACTGCATCCAGATAGATATCAGGTGGACATCCCATGCAAGGTAAATGCTTCTCAAGATGAGGTTTGTGTACCGGCATCATCGTATCACTAGGGAAGCTGATATTCAAGGGCCTACCTCAGATTTACTGAATTAGGCAGCGTGGAGGCGATACCATTGCGGTGAGTTAGAAAGCTCTCGGTTATATTTTCAGAGGTCCTGATGCAGAGCCAACATACAATACTACCTTCATTTTTTGTGATTTGCATTTTTGTATATGGGTGTTTTGCCTGCATGTATGTCTGTTATGCCATACATGTGCTTAAGACCAAAAGAAGGCACCCGCCCTCCTGAAACTGGAGATGCAGACAGTTGTGAGCTGCATGTGAGTGCTGGGAATTAAACCAAGTCCATCTGGAAGGGCAGTTTGTGTTCTTGGCCACTGACTCTGCCCCCAAACTGACTGTCATTTTAGAGACATAAATTAGTTAGATCTTTACTCGGGAATTTTTTTTAACCTTTATAGATATAAGTGTACACACTGGCCTCAAAGCAGCTTAAGTTAAGACTTCCCTGGCATAGGCTGCATACTTCGTTGGTGATGGGAATATAAGTAAACCTTTCTGTTCGGAGTCACCAGGAACTTTACCTGCTTGCGCTGTAAAAGTGCCTCATTCGGTATCACACTAGTCCTATGACAAATTGTTTCAGTATAGAAAGACAGGAAGCATGCTATTACGGTGCTTAAAACAGAAAGCACTGCCCGTTAACCCACTGAAAGAGCCAACAAAGCTGATTAGTTTAACCACGTAAAACCTGAAACAGCCATCAGTGCAGGCAGATCCTTGAAGCCCAGCCTCGCTGCAAGCTTAGACTTAGCCAGTCACTCTCTCAACTGAAGATTGGAGGTGTTTGATGACGTGGCACGCTGGTGCCAGGTAAATGCCATAACTGAAGAGGGTGACCGACTCTTTCCTTCTGCAGGACCAACATGACGGTACAGTGTGATGTGTACATAGAGACCCCTCAGAGAGGGGGCGTATTCATCGCTGGGAGAGTGAATAAAGGTGGGATTTTGGTGAGAACCGCTACAGGAGTTTTCTTCTGGATTTATGCCAGTGGATCTTACAGAGTTACGGCTGACCTGGGTAAATGACGCGTCTTACTGGGTCAGAACTTGCTTTGAGCCTGTGTGTCTAATGGGAATAATTTCAACGTGTGTCGGCAAGTACCAAGCAATTCAGAATCAGAGCTATTTAATTTGTGTGGAGAAGGGCTGCTCAGTAATGAGAAATAACAGCTTGTAGGGCGTTCCAGGCATGTAGTGCTGTGAGGGTCAGTTTGTGAAGACCTAGAGAAGCAGGGATGGAGGACAGACACACGGAGGAGACATTCGAAAGACTAAAAGGTGTTTGTGCTTATGGAGATCAAGGGACACGTTGACCCCTTAAAATGGAGACTCCTATTCCATAATATTCGGGATACTGGGAAGGACTTTGACTTTTTTCACTGGATCTATCTCAGTAGCAGAATGGGGGCCTAGGAGCATGTTGATTTCGAGTTGCACTTAGCTCACCCTGCTGTAGTGACACGAGACCTCGTGGTAGCAACTTCTTGATTCTCAGTCTCTTGACATTAGTGACTTGTCACATTAGTGACAAAAATTTTATTTTATAGTTTTCTACTCTTTGTCCTGGCTCTGTAAATAAAATAATAGAGAGGTAGTCAGGATATTGTTATAGTGTGGCCTATCTAAGAGGTACCTCCTTGATGTTTGATCCAAAACAGAGCCAGAGACATTGATTGCCTTTCCCAAAGTCCCCCAAACTATTAGTGGTGGAGCTAGAACTAGGAATTTCAACCTGCATCTTGAGTCCCCACTGTTGGAGTTTGAAATCACCTGCTTGATGTCTGATCCTAGGTTTCTTCCAGACATTCAGATGCCACAAATGCCAAACTAGCTTACTCTATCTCTACTTACTGTCATTGATGCTGTTTACATGTGAGCAGATCTACTAGTTGACCGTCTTTTGTAGTCTTGGTGGGTTGACATGCTAAGACATCAGACATGGTTAGTTTTTAAGTTCATCTCATTGATTCTACTGTGAGTGCCTCATGTTCTGTGGTGTAGAATAGAATCTCAGTACATGATTCTGTAGTGTGTAGCTGAATGAGGGATTTTCCTCAGCAATCAGTTGTAGATCTGGAAACGAAAGGACAAGGCTTCCTTAAGGTAGCCTGAACTACATACAGGTGCCACTTAGGAACCTCCCTGAGTTGTGTGATCTGGGATTTAGGTTGGAAAGTGTGCCAGTTGAGATACTCCTTTTGTGTTACAGGTGGATGGATCACATACACCTCAGGACATGCTGACATCACAGCAAAAAGATGGTATACACTTACCTTAAGCATTAAGGTGAGCATTGCTGATGAGAATTTTCTGTTAGAAAACAAATGGCAGGATATAAATGATGAAAAGAGGGTGTGTACTATGGAATCATTAAAATATCTACCCATAGGATGAAGTTGTAGGTCAGAGTTACTCTCAGGAGAACCAGAAGTTGACTTTTTAGACCACTGTCATCTTAACTTTGTTTTTAATTGAGGAGTGATTCATTAAGCTAACAACTGAATTGTTCTCAGTGTTCTTGAACCAAGAGTATAAATAGAACTAACAGGAGTATGCAAAGGCATAGAAGCTTATTTTTGACAGCTTAGAACTATTTTGTTTTTAACTATAAGCACAGTTTTCTACAGTTTTTTTTAGAGATGACACTAGAGTAACAGTGGGATAAAGGAAATCTAAAAATCAGCTGCGGCATCCTTGTTGATCACAAGGTACTGACTGACAGTGCTCCCAAAGGATGCTGTGCAGAGAAAGTGTCTTGTAATATGTGAATCTTCTCATGTAGCCCTTTCAGATTTGTTTAGGTCGTAAGTAGAAACTAAAATTGAGATTCAAAGAACTTAAAATTTTTTTCTCAGTAACCATTCACCCCCTGAAAATGAGTTCTTATTTTTAAGCTGCTTATTAATAGAGTTAAGGATCTAGTTGGGGTGTTGTGTGGTTTGTTTGGTCATACCCTTCTTAATGGTATAGGATGATCCCAGGCATAGTTCCTGAATGCTTATGTGGTATGATTGGTGAAGACTGGCATTTAGAAGAATTGCATTTATTTTTAATTGCATTTAATTCTTTTTTGAGAATCTCATGTAATGCATTTTGATATATTCAACCTCCTCCATCTCCTACCAGATCCACCATCTTCCTACCCACATAACTTTGTGTCCTCTTTAAAAAAATCTTTATCAAATCCAGTATGTTCTCTTGGGGATGTGACTATAAAAAAAAGAGTTGGGTTAATATTATGTTTGTTAAGTGGAATAGTAACAGTAGGATCTCTTCTGAATCCTAAGACTTGTCTAGTCAGAATTTCTTTGTCCTGATAATAGTGCCAGATAGGTAAGAGAGAAACACTGAAAGGCCTATTCCTAGGTCCAGTTTTGCCACCTATAGGTTTTTAAAACCTTGGACTGATCAATTTCTGCCACTCTCTGATTTGGAAATCAGGTATCTTCAAGATTAGTCATGCTATATAAGGGCATTCCTACTTGGGCTGGACAAATATTTTACCGGAAGAGCTAGACAGGAGATAGTTGGTGTTTGTGGTCCATGTGCTCTGTGTTGCACCTACTCAGCTCTGCTGTGGTCAAGAGAAAGCCATGACAGACAAGAGGTAAACGATTAGTGTGCCTGCATCCCAGTGAAAGTTCACTGTGGAAATATGTGGCGGGCCTGAGGCCTTGGATTGCTGAGCTTTGTTCCAAGTCAGTAACTTGGAAATGAGTACACACATAGTTATAAAGAGATTTGGGGTAATGTGATAAAATAGCCTCTTGCTCTGACTTCCTAACCACGCAAGTTAGAGAAGACTGTGCCACGTACATGAGGCAGAGAAGAAGCTGAGTAGCTCTCATAACTGGTGCAAAAGGTGGTTAGTCTGACCTTGTATAGGGAGCGTCTGGGAAGCCAGTGTGTTTGGAGCCTGGGGAGTAGGGCCAGGAGGCACTGTGACCCTGTGTGGCAGACTATGTTTAATATGATTTGTGTACCTGTATCCCTTGGCCCAGGACTAATGCTTACTCTTCTAGGAGTGGCAGGGAGTGTCCAGGAAGTGCTTTTGAGATGAAGACAACTGTGCAGTTGTATAGCAGAGATATGTGTGGGGCTTCCCTAGGTGACTTGGATTCAGTTCCTGGCTCCTCTGGAAAATCTTCAACATAGAATTTTAGTTAGCCCAAGTCTCAGTGTTGCTATCCATAAAATTAAAGATCATTGCAGTATAATTTTGAGACAGAAAGATTTGTGTTGGGTTTTGACCTAGAGATTCAATCTGCAGCTCTCTATCTTTTGGGAGTAGCTCGGGTATACGTGGCTAGCTGTATACTTGGTGTGCTCATGGTGTACCGCGGCAGTGGTGATAAAGGTTGATGTGTACAGTAAGGGGAATGCAGTGGCCACTGTCTGAGAAGGTTGTGCCTGTGTGATTTCGTCATTATCAGTGAACCGTGTCTTATGTGCTCTTCCTCCACTGCCAGTGCACCCATGGTTCTGTTTGACCGTGGCTGCAGCTCTCCCGATAAAGAGCAGCCATTCCATCTGGCTCTGTAGTGACATGCTCTTCATCCTCATGGGGACAAGAAGGGTAAAATGAAGGCCGATTTCTCCTCTGGGTGTGCAGCCCTTCATTGAGACTTTTAGTGTGGAGCAGTTTGCAGCAGGCATTTGGGCCCCAGCAAACCTGGAGGAATCTCTCACTCAGCCAAAGTACATGTATGTACAGTTACAGTGTTATTTAGTGGACTTTTGTCGGGAGCCTCATAAAAATGCTGTACAAATTTTATGGGCTTATTTTGTGGTTTGGATTTTGGGTGGATCATCAGGACCTGTGGTAAAATATTATTTTCAGGTGTGTGACTTTTGTTTGTGCTGCATTTGTTTTAACTCTGTGAAGCTGTGTTACCGTGCTGATGGGCCTAATAGCTGACTGGCCAATAGCGAGGCAGGAGCAAGGATAAGCTGGGCTGGCAGGCAGAGAGTAGAAATAGATGGAGAAATGAGAGGACGAGGTGAGGAGGACTTCGGGACCCAGTCACCCAGCCAGTCACAGACTTAAGAGTGAAAGGAAGATATTTGCAAGATAAAGGGAAAAGCCCAGAGGTAAAAGACAGTCGAGATTAAGCTGGGCATTCATGTGTGTGTGTGTGTGTGTGTGTGTGTGTGTGTGTGTGTGTGCTTGAGCTTTTCCTAGCACACTTTTGATTTATTTGGGAGCTGGGTGGCGGCCCCCAAAAAAGCCCAAAGAGTAAAACATCACACAGCAAGGAATTTTTGAGGTTTAACATATTTTGGGAACTGTTTAAACAAGTGCTTATTAATTCTTTCAGGTAAATTTTGATGTATTTCAGACTTTCGCTCAAACACACGAAATTGTATTTTACAGTTCTAGGTCTTGGGTGATAGGGATGTTTGTTCCACCAAGTAGCTGAGCTGCATTTAAACAGACTCCAGAGACTCATTTGCACATTTTCACGGGACACGTTTATCTCTCTTGCAGGGTTATTTCGCCTCTGGCATGTTGAACGGCAAGGTCCTGTGGGAAAATGTCCCTGTGAAATACCCAGGGTATGGCTGGGCCGCCATCGGGACGCACACCTTCGAGTTTGCGCAGTTTGACAACTTTCACGTGGAAGCGGCTCGCTAGTCCTCACAGGGCGTCGAGACACTATTTGGATTTTCTATTTTTGGTTTTTATTCAGGGCCAGTTTTGATGGACCTGTATGTAGCCTTTGAGGCTAACGATATGAAGAGTAAATAGGGAACGTGGTACATGTTTGCCAGAACATGTGAAAGGTTTAATTAGAACTATATCCACCATTTGTTAGTCCCATTCTTCAGGAGTGGTTTGGGTGGTTCCTGCCTTGCAGCCTTGGTGCTAACACCGAGGGAGCTCTCTCCATATTGTTTGTGAATGATCATGTAGATGACCGGACCCGAGAAGCACAGAGGTGCCTTTGTGATCACTGACCATGTGTCTGAGTGAGTTGAGGCCTCCTTAGAAGATGCTGGAACATCATCTTCCTTTAAGAGGAAGCTGAGGAACACTTAAGGACAGCTCAACATGATGTCCCTCCTCCCCTCCCTCCTCCCTCTCTCTCTTTCACCCTTTCTGCCCCCCTTCCCCCCCTCTCTGCCTCCCTTCCCCCTCTCTCTGCCTCCCTTCCCCCTCTCTCTGCCTCCCTTCCCCCTCTCTCTGCCTCCCTCCCCCTCTCTCTGCCTCCCTCCCCCTCTCTCTGCCCCCTTCCCCCTCTCTCTGCCCCCCTTCCCCCTCTCTCTGCCTCCCTTCCCCCTCTCTCTGCCTCCCTCCCCCCATGATGATGTTTTGGAAATTGGATGAAATGACGGTGGGATGATTTGAAAATGCCTCATTAATAAACTAACTCCAAAACCATTTTTACAGAAATAAAAATAATCAGACTAATTGGGTTGTTTGGATTCTTTAATTATCTTACTTACAACTTTTAACTCTTACCACCCTTATGACTGTCTTGAGAACATTTTTCTCATACAAGTCAGTGCTGCGGGTGGGTCGGGCAGCTTCCCTGTGCTTTCTTATGCCATCTGCAGAGTATTCTTATGCTCTCACAGGGGGCTCTGCCAACAGCAGGACATGAGCAAAGGCCCTCCCCCCTCTACATGTGGCAGGAGGTGGCACTTAGCTTTACTAGCTCACTGAATGGGCCATCTCCTATTATCTTTATGGATAGATGCACTCACTATATTCCTAGTGTTTAAATGCTGGTAAGCGTGTTTCTCATTAGTATGATTTGTGTCTAAACATTTGTATAACTCTTAGAAACAAGTCAGTTTTTCATGTGGGTAAATGAATTGGGCAATTCTTTATAAGGCAAAATTACTCACTGAATTAATTCTACTACATGGGAATTTACTACAGCAGTGTAACCCTGGTAGAACTTGAGTGAGGTTTTGTGTTGCTTTTGAAAACTTGAAGCTAATTGCCAGTATAAATCCAATTAAAGAAAAAATTATGTTAAAACCAAGTCTAAGTGATTTCTGGTTTAGATGTTTAAATATTTTGAAAACTAATGTATAATCTATGTGTAGTAGAATATTCCCATTTTAAGACTGTGGTTTGGTGTTTGGATAAATGTAAAGACTCCCTTGTAACCAACACTCCAATGAAGTTATTGACTATTTCCATCACCCCAAAGGGTTCTCTGTTACACCTCTACAGTCAGGCCCTCCCACTCATAGTTCCAGGCAGCCATTGGTATTTCTGTTGGTTTCCTTTGAAAACATGAAAGTGACATGTTTTCCTGAATGGTAGTTTCCAGCAGCGTAACGCTCTGAGCTATGTCCGGGTTATTGCTGGCTGAGGTGGTATGCTATGCTACTTCATATTTCTGAAGAGAACCCCATCGAATGGCTACACTGAAGTTTGGTTTTCCATCTCCTGTTTTAATGAGATTAAAAATAAAACTCACAACAGCATTTACATACAAGTCTTTGGGACTATGCATTTATTTCTTCTGGATTAACTGGGGAGAAAGATCACTAGCTCTTATGTTAACATGTTTAACTTCATACAAAACCACCAGCTGTCCCCAGAGTGATCCCGTGATGCTACACAGCCATCACTAGTGTGGAAGTATTCTTGCCGTCATGGTGATTTGTGTCTGGAATGTATGAAGAGTTCTGCATGTGCATGCGTTTATGCCATCTGAGGCTGCAGAGGGTTTTGCTTCTTTCCCAGTGTGTCTGCTTTGTTTCAGAGGTTGCTGCCTTGTGCTGGCTGGAACTTTCAGGTACAACACTGGGGAGGGTTAAGAACATACATTCTCACCGTGTTTGCAATCTTAGGAAGAACATCTTTTAGTGTGAACTCTTTTCCCCCTTCCCCTCTTCTTTTTCTTTTTTGTTTTTAAATCCCTCTACCTAGGGAAAATTTCTTCTGTTTCCAGTTTCCTGAGCTTTCTCCCCCACACCCCCAAATCTTCCCCATCCTCTCCCTCTTCTCTGTTTCTCTTTAGATGAAGGGACTCTCCCATGGATATCAGCCAGCCATGGTGTATTAAGTTGTAGTGAGGCTAGACACCTCCTCTTTTACTAAGGCTGGATGAAGCAATCTGGTAGGAGGAACTGGCCCCCAAAACAGGCCGCAGAGTCAGAGACAGCCCCTGCTCTCACTGCTAGGAGTCTAATAAGAAGACCAAATCACACAGTTGTAACATATATGCAGCGAGCCTATGTCAGTTCCATGCAGATTCCCTGGTTGTGGTTTCTATCTCTGTGAGCCTCTATGAGCCAAGGTTATTTGGTTCTGTGGGTTTTCTTATGGTGTCCTTGACCCCCCCTGCCTCCTACAATCCTCCTCCTCCTGCTCTTCTGCAGGATTCTCCAAGCTCCACTTAATGTTTGGCTGTGGGTCTCTGCATCTGTTTCTACCAGTTACCGAATGAAGCCTCTGATGACAACTGGGCACCAATCTATGAGTATAGCAGAATATCATTAGGAATAATTTCATGACTTTTTCTCCAAGTCTTGTTTGGTTATATCCTAGGTCTCTGTGGTATATACCACTTCTGGGTCCTGGCTGTCAGGGGTAAGTTCCCTCCCAGGGTATGGGTCTTGAGCTGGGCCAGTCATTAGTTGGTCACTCCCACAATTTCTATGCCATTCTTACCCCAGTACATTTTGTAGGCAGGACAAATTATAAATTGAAGGGCTTGTGGCTGTGTGGTGTCCTAGTCCCCCCTCTGGAAGTCTTGTCTGGTTACAGGAGATGGCTGGAATCCCCTGTTGCTAGGAGTCCTAGCTAAGCTCACTCTCATAGATCCTGGGTGTTTCCATTGCACTAGGTTTCTAGCTCATCCCAGAGATGGCCCCCAGATTCTACTTGTCTCTCCCAGTACTGTCTCTCTCCATCCTCCTCCGCCTGATCCCTCCTGTTCCATCCCTGCCCTCAGTCCATTGTTTCCCCTTCATGAAAGGATTTATGCACCGCCACTTGAGCCCTCCTTGTTACTTAGCTTCATTGAGCCTATGGATTGTACCATGGTTCTCCTTTATGTTACAGCTATACTTATAAGTGAGTATACACCATGTTTCTCTTTCTGGGTTTGGGTTACCTCAGGGTGATCTTTTCTAGTTCCATCCATTTCCCAGCAAATTTTATGATGCCATTTTTTGTTTGTTTGTTTGTTTGTTTGTTTTGAGACAGGGTTTCTCTGTATTGTTTTGGAGCCTGTCCTGGAACTCTCTCTGTAGACCAGGCTGGCCTCAAACTCAGAGATCCACCTGCCTCTGCCTCCTGAGTGCAGGGATTAAAGGCGTAGGATGCCATTGCTTTTAACAGTTGAGTAATACTCCATTGTGTAAATATACCACATTTTCTTTGTCCATTCTTCAGTTGAGTGACATCTAGGTTGTTCTTAGTTTCTGGCCATCACAAATCAGGCTTTTATGAACATTGCAGAGCAAGTGTCCTTGTGGTATGGAGGAGCCCCAAAGTGTTATAGCTGGGTGTTAAGGTAGATTAATTGCTAATTTTTCTGAGAAATCACCACACTGATTTCCAAAATGGCTGTACAATGGTATACTTCCACCAGCAGTGAAGGAATGTTCCCTTTGCTCCACATCCTCTCCAGAATGAGCTGTCACTTGTGCTTTTGATCTTAGCCATTCTGACAGATATAAAGTATAATCTCAGTGTTGTTTTGATTTGCATTTCCCTGATGGCTTAAGGATGTTCAACATTTTTTTTAAATTTAGAAATCTTATTTTACATATCAATCACAGTTTCCTCTCCCTCCCATCCTCCCATGCCCCCCCCACTGACCCCTTCACCTCACCTCCCTTCCACTCCCCAGGGAGGATAAGGCCTTCCATTTCTTTTAGTGATTCTCTGACATTTGTAATCCCTCTGTTGAGAATTCTCTATACAGAGAATTCTCTGTACCCGCATTTTTAAAAATTGGTTTATTTGGTTTGTTGATGTCTAGTTTCTTGAATTCTTTACATATATTGCATATTAGCCATTTGTCAGATATGGGGCTGGTGAAGATTTTTCTTATTCTGTGGGTGCTGTTTTATCCTTTGCACAGTGTCATTTTCCTTTAAGAAGCTTTTCAGTATTTGGAGGTCTCATTTGTTAATTATCAAACTTGGTGCCTGTGCAATTTATGTTTTCTTCAGGAAGTTGTCTCCCCTGCCAATTTTTCAAGATTTTTCCCTACTTTCTCCTCTATCAGGTTCGTTGTATCTGGTTTTATGTTGAAGCCTTTGATCCACTTGGATTTGAGTGCAGGGTGATAGATGTGGATCTATTTGCATTCTTCTACATGCCTACTTCCAATTAGACCAGCACTGTTTTGAAGATGCTTCGTTTTTAATTGTATAATTTTGTCTTGTCAAAAATCAAGTGTCTTCTGGATCTTCAGTTTGAGTCAATTGATAAATCTGTCTATTTTTATGCTAATACCATGTGGTTTTTATTACTATTTATCTGCCATACAGCTTGAAATCAGGGATGGTGATACCTCTCAAAGTTCTTTTATTGAGTAAGGGTGTTTCCATCTATGCCCATGTGCAATATTGCCTTAGTTTTGTTTCATTATTATATCTTTGTCTGGTTTGGGTACTGGGTAATCGTTTCTGAAACTAGCTGGGAAATGGTCTCTCTTCCTTGATTTTCTCCAACACTTTGTGAGATTCTTAAGTTGTAGAATTTATGAGTTCACTCATTCAAGGTCCAGTCAAAAGACAGAAGACAGAACCCACCTACCCCCTGAAAAAAAGTAACACAAAGAATGATAAACTACCACATGAGATGAACTACTAAGAACTAAAGGAGCTCT